ACAATCAGTAATTAAGTCCAAGGACTTTCGCAAACTTACGTGTCACTGGGATTCTTTTTATCGAATGACTAGTTTGAGTATGCGCAAAAGATCCAAAAGAATTGCACCATACTGCACTCTGCTGTAATACAATGCGATATATTGTGATGCCTGCCAAATTGTCTGATCAAAATTAACTTAGTGAATTTTTTTTCTTAATTAAATTTAAAACCTGATTGAATACACACACAGTTTTTTTCATTTTATGCTTTGAAAAAAAAAAGGCTTCAAAAACAGACTAGAGAGCATTTCTTTTATTCTCATATTCTTAAATATTTGTTTTCTTTCATATGAATCAAAATTAACAATCAGTAATTAAGTCCAAGGACTTTCGCAAACTTACGTGTCACTGGGATTCTTTTTATCGAATGACTAGTTTGAGTATGCACAAAAGATCCAAAAGAATTGCACCATACTCCACGCTGCCGTAATACAATGCGATACATTGTGATGCCTGCCAAATTGTCCAATCAAAATTAACTTAGTCAATTTTTTTTCTTAATTAAATTTAAAACCTGACTGAATACACACACAGTTTTTTTCATTTTATGCTTTGAAAAAAAAAAGGCTTCAAAAACAGACTAGAGAGCATTTCTTTTATTCTCATATTCTTAAATATTTGTTTTCTTTCATATGAATCAAAATTAACAATCAGTAATTAAGTCCAAGGACTTTCGCAAACTTACGTGTTACTGGGATTTTTTTTATCGAATGACTAGTTTGAGTATGCGCAAAAGATCCAAAAGAAATGAACACTCCTCTTTGCCTGCATGATGAGTGGATTTTTTTGTTTACAAGAGAATTCATACTGTTTACCATAAGAATTTAGCTGCATTTTATTGCATTGCACTACAATGCAATGTCAATCAATAAAATGCAGTCCATTTTTGTTTTACATTATGGTATTGAAAATAAAATGTAAATTAACAATATTTTCTAATATATTTTTAATTTTTTAAAAAGTTCTGAAAAACAGACTGGATGGAATATTTTCATTCACATTTTCTTATATGATTGTTCTCTTTCATACGAATCTGAATTAACAAGGCAGTAATAATGCCGAAGGATTTTTCGACAAATTTTTTCATTGCTGTTTATTATTTTATGCAACGCTTAGTTTGGGTATATGAAAGATTGAAAAAGAGAGAAATCTCGTGTTTACTAATGAGTGTAAATTTTGAGAGTGATGCAGACAAGCACCAGGAAGGATAAAGAGAATATATTCTGATAACAGTACTTAGAGCCAAGTTCTCGTCAAAGAACAGTTATACTTTTGCTGATTTTTTTATTGAAAGACTGAAATGGATATATGCCAAACATCCCGAGGAAAATTGGAGTATCGAGTGAAGTTCTTTAATTGCAAGCTAATTAATTTTGCTTTTAAATAAAAATATAACTGTCCTACAATACATTTCATTGTAATGCTTGATGTACTGTCTATCTAAAATATGCTTGGTCAATTTTTATTATTAAGCAAAACAGTGAAAAAAATATAAACTTTCCTGTTTGACTAATGAGTCAATATTTTGAGACTCAAACAAAGCTCCGATGACTTTGTAGAACAATCAAAGACGCTTTTCAATACTGCTTAGCAGTACTTGTTTAGTGAGATAAGCTCACACTAAGTCCTTTACTCGCGACATTACCTGTCACCGTTATTTACTCTGACTTTAACACATGGTCATTTGTGAATTTCTTTCTAACGTCTTATATATATAGTATACAAGCCTGTTACTCGTTAGCATTGCTTAAACATTTACATAAAATAAAGCAGGAATCAATGATCGTTTTGTCTACGTTGTTCAAAGGGACATAATTTGAGTTATCAAACTTTGAAACAAAACTTACATTATGCAAATTTCCAAATAAACATTCGATCACAAGGACAAATTGTATATAAAAGCTGTCTTTGGAGGGTGGATGGTGGGGAATGTTTCTAATACCCTGACAAGTAAAATAATTGTGCTTGTTTAAATACAAGTAGAATTGCACCATACTGCACTCTGCCGTAATACTATGCGATACATTGTGATGCCTGCCAAATTGTCTGATCAAAATTAACTTAGTCAATTTTTTTTCTTAATTAAATTTAAAACCTGACTGAATACACACACAGTTTTTTTCATTTTATGCTTTGAAAAAAAAAGGCTTCAAAAACAGACTAGAGAGCATTTCTTTTATTCTCATATTCTTAAATATTTGTTTTCTTTCATATGAATCAAAATTAACAATCAGTAATTAAGTCCAAGGACTTTCGCAAACTTACGTGTCACTGGGATTCTTTTTATCGAATGACTAGTTTGAGTATGCACAAAAGATCCAAAAGAATTGCACCATACTCCACTCTGCCGTAATACAATGCGATACATTGTGATGCCTGCCAAATTGTCCAATCAAAATTAACTTAGTCAATTTTTTTTCTTAATTAAATTTAAAACCTGATTGAATACACACACAGTTTTTTTTCATTTTATGCTTTGAAAAAAAAAGGCTTCAAAAACAGACTAGAGAGCATTTCTTTTATTCTCATATTCTTAAATATTTGTTTTCTTTCATATGAATCAAAATTAACAATCAGTAATTAAGTCCAAGGACTTTCGCAAACTTACGTGTTACTGGGATTTTTTTTATCGAATGACTAGTTTGAGTATGCGCAAAAGATCCAAAAGAAATGAACACTCCTCTTTGCCTGCATGATGAGTGGATTTTTTTGTTTACAAGAGAATTCATACTGTTTACCATAAGAATTTAGCTGCATTTTATTGCATTGCACTACAATGCAATGTCAATCAATAAAATGCAGTCCATTTTTGTTTTACATTATGGTATTGAAAATAAAATGTAAATTAACAATATTTTCTAATATATTTTTAATTTTTTAAAAAGTTCTGAAAAACAGACTGGATGGAATATTTTCATTCACATTTTCTTATATGATTGTTCTCTTTCATACGAATCTGAATTAACAAGGCAGTAATAATGCCGAAGGATTTTTCGACAAATTTTTTCATTGCTGTTTATTATTTTATGCAACGCTTAGTTTGGGTATATGAAAGATTGAAAAAGAGAGAAATCTCGTGTTTACTAATGAGTGTAAATTTTGAGAGTGATGCAGACAAGCACCAGGAAGGATAAAGAGAATATATTCTGATAACAGTACTTAGAGCTAAGTTCTCGTCAAAGAACAGTTATACTTTTGCTGATTTTTTTATTGAAAGACTGAAATGGATATGTGCCAAACATCCCGAGGAAAATTGGAGTGTCGAGTGAAGTTCTTTAATTGCAAGCTATTTAATTTTGCTTTTAAATAAAAATATAACTGTCCTACAATACATTTCATTGTAATGCTTGATGTACTGTCTATCTAAAATATGCTTGGTCAATTTTTATTATTAGGCAAAACAGTGAAAAAAATATAAACTTTCCTGTTTGACTAATGAGTCAATATTTTGAGACTCAAACAAAGCTCCGATGACTTTGTAAAACAATCAAAGACGCTTTTCAGTACTGATTAGCAGTAATTGTTTAGTGAGGTAAGCTCACACTAAGTCATTTACACGCGACGTTACCCGTAAAGCTCCAATTTTTGCGGTTAATTATCACAAAAGCGAAGATTAATTAAGAAGGTTGTGATTTTTTAAATCGCACTCATTTCTGTTTAAAATCTTTAAAATCTTTCAGAAAATTCTGGAAACACATTTTTATAGGAAACAGATTATAGCAATTTCCTGTTTACTGCCAATTTTATTTATAAAACCGGTTCTACCCTATAACCTTAGAATGGATCAACCTACACCACGTGTCTTGAATTTAAATCACAATAACATTAATAGGGGTGCAGCATGTGAAATGAAAAAAGTTATGACGTCTGGCTTGTACAAACTCATAAAATCATTATTACAGTGTGATAATATTCTATACAAAAAGAATCTTCTATACATATATTAAAGAATAAGCAATCAAATCTTTATATCCATATTGGCTTTTTTTATTTCTTTCAATATGCATAATTATATACATTTAATACTCAGTAATTCTACAAATCAAGGGGAGTCCGACCCCCCACCCCCACCCCCCACCCCCGAACTGCGCATGCTCTTTTTTCCCCTAAGCTGGGAACACAAATTCTCTGAATTAGCTTGTTTACATTTTGATCGTATAGATATTTGGGGATTTTCACAGCAAAACAAGAAACATGCCATTCTTTCTATAATATTAAGAATATCTATCTCTTGAAAATGTTGAAAATGAATAATCTGTCCTCGACTGACAAGAAAATAAATAATCTGTCCTTGACTAGTGCTATACTTGGTGCGTCGTTATAAATACGCTTATTAATTACAAATTATAAATACATAATATTGATATATAATTAAAACCCTCTCTACACTGCACACTAAAGAGTTCTGATTCTGTGAAATTTTTCTGCAATTAGAGTGATCTGCCCTTAGATCTAAACTCAAATAAACTGAAATTTACTATGTATTACACAATTTGTAATCAATTCAAGCATTCTTCACATATTAAAAGACCAAGATAAATTTATTGAACACTTTATTTCCATGATTTTCTCCACAGAAGTAATCAACAGTGATTTCTGTTCATTTGATACATTGTTGTCTTTGAACATTTTTCCTGGGAGTAAATGGCACGTACCATATATTGAAAATTAAATAAATAAGTGCAGTATTTACACCTTTATAGACTATAATTTTGTCAATGTCCAAAAAAAAAAACATTCACTGTTGTAGAGAGGGTCCTTAAAATCGAACACAGCGAGGAAAAATACGACGAATCAGATCAGGATTCGAACTCGGGCCCCTGGAACTCAGATACTCTACCAACTGAGCCATGTGGTAATCGGCGATTGAACCTGCCTGACCACCATATTACCCACCTCCTTAAAAGTGTTTGCATCAGAAGACACCAACCCGGGTTCTTCCTGAAAGGTCTTTCAATTGTCACTTCCATGGCATAGTCATGGCACCAAATGTAACCTGCGAGGAGGAAAATCGACGAATCAGACCAAAATTCGAACCCTGACTCCCTGAATCACAAGTCAGATACTCTTTCAATTGAGCAACATATGTAGGCTCTTCCCTGCATGGCAGGTTTTTCATCTTGCATTCCTGGGCATGGCAGGCACCAAATGTAACCAGCAAGCAGAAAAATGCGATGGATCAAACCCAGCCCCCTGAATCACTAGTCATGTGCTCCTACTGAGCAATCCGATAACCCGGGTTCGAATCCTGTTCTTAATATTTCCGTCGTATTTTTTGACCAGGGATGTGTCAACGAATATTCGAACATTCGAATATTCATTCGATGAGTTGATATTCGAATATGAATTTAAGATTCGAATATTCGGTGTTTTCGGATTTCATAAAAAGACGTACTGTGATTAATAAATTTTGATTAGAACAGTGCTGGAATTTATTACCCCTGTTTAATTTACTAGCGATCAATTTTGATCGCCATATTTCTTTCACTACTTTCTTATCTTGTATAGATCTACTACTTATTTATTTTGTTTTGAGTACGGTGTTAAAGAATTATACAATAATGCTTTATGTATAATATAAAACAAACTTTCATAGTTTTTATTAGTTAAATACGATCGGATCTAGAATCGAGGACAACAAAATAAAAACCTTCTTGAATGTCTAAAAGACTTGAAGAGTATACTTATCAAAACAAATTTAATTGATCATTCAAATGAATGTCCGCTGGAATTAGTCTGTAATTAATATTGTAAAGGACTCAATTTCAGAATAAATGTGTAAATTACTTGATTATCTCGGGTTGTACATAATCCTGAATTTTATATTCATTATCGGGAAATTAGTTAATTACCTAGGAAAATTGTCTATGGAAATGTTTGTTTATATTTCTAAAACATTGTATCAAAGATTATAATCATATCTCTGATTAGGCTGATAACTGTAATTAATTACACATATTGGAATCTGAACAGTATACGACTATCTTGCCTTTGGTAAGATGACTGGTTCCTCAGTTGGAGCTACTATAAATACACATGAATCATTTGTTAAAATTATGCTTTTCTACATTTAAATCAATTATTTATTTCAAACATTGACAAATATCAAATGGAATTCCTTATTGTACACCTACAAGTCTTCATAAAATTTTATTTCCAATATAGGAATACCTACACGCTAAACTTTTCACGAAAGTAGGATGATGCATATTAAAAATATACCAGATTTTATTTATTTTATCGAATATTCGAATACTTTCATTGAATATTCGAATATGAATTATTGACAAAATTGACATCCCTAATTTTTTCTCATCGTGAGTTGCCGTTTACATAACAATAATAACCCCCTTCCCTTTCTTACTTAATTACCCAAGTTTTAAAATAAAGTCCAGAGAAAAACCTTGTGAAGACGTTCGTAAAAAACTACATTTTTCAGCATTTTCTAGGATTTTAGTTACACATTAAAAGCTGCTAAATGTCAAGCCTGATGACGTCACAGGACCTTTCGAAAAACATGAAAACGACTTGGCCATGGCCATTCATTAATTTTCTTATCTATATAAAAATCATAAAAGAAAAGGTCCCATTACACGCAACGTGGTGGTCCGTGGGATTGTAGTGAATCACGTCCTGTCTGTCCATCGCAATATCCCCACGCTCTATCCCGATATTGTGCAAAACCACGCACGCAACAATGTAGGCCGCTGCTTGGTCTGGGCATGTTCTGAAAGTGTACATATAACAAAGTGAAAGCATGATATAAGAAGTTAAAATTCTTGACGCAGTTTAAACAAAATTCATTACCTAAGTGTTCCCTGAAGACAGGAAAAACGCCTTTTAAGGATGCCGAAACTCTGCTCGACTAGCACCCGTGTTCTACATAGGGATGCATTGAACCTCTGCTGGGCCTCTGTAGTTGGGCTGAGATATGGAGTCATCAGAAACCTGCGACATGGATACCCTGAGTCTCCTAGAAGGAGGCCTTTGTGCTCACCTGAAGTTAAAAAAGGGAATGATTATATACACATTGTACATGAATAGCCCCCCCCCCCTCCTACTTTTTTCCAAACATAATTTTTACTATTGAAAATGTTCATTGAAAGACCGGTTGCCCCCCCCCCCCTTTTTGTTGCAGTAAAGTCAAATAAGGGAAATAATGCAGTAATGTAGGAGAAAAATTTGGCACTGAAATAAGTTGGTACTGAAAGAAGATGGAACACCCCCCCCCCCCCCCCCCACACACACACACACACACGAAATAAGATTTTCGAGTTTGGAAAATCCACCACCACCCCTTTTTTTTGCTTCTCAAGTTTTTTTTTTCAGGTAAGTTGAATTATTTTTCTCTTTTCTCTGGCTGCCCCCCACCCCCCTTTCCAAAAACGATGCTACGTTCCTGAGCTATATAAAGATTGTAAAAGTGACAGTTGGAAATATACCCCTTTCAAATTGTCTGCATAGTGCTGATTCTCTCCAGATCCTACTGTCATGCACACTGCCCGGCCAATTGGCACAAATGCTGGTAATACGAAATTTTGCATCACACACCATCTATTTAATAAAATTACACGTGTTACTTAAAGTATTGAGGATAAAGGATACAAATTTGAAATCGAAATTTAATACGATTACCTGCACATTCAAAGAATGAAATCCCTTCCGATTCACAAAGTCTGGTTCGTTTTCTGAAGGGCCTTGTTTCTTCACAAACGTCCCATCTACACACCCCAAGACATTTGGGAACCCTAGATTGAAAATTTCTGACCATGTTTATTTGGATACTTCAGATTTAAAAAAAAAAGTAAATATCATCGATGTATTTATCAATTATTTAGCATGATCAATATTAATTTTGAAAGCACACAGACTTTATTTAATTACAGTTTTAGCATAAGGTGTGCTTTTACATGTACATGTATAGGAAGTTTGAAAGTTAAAAATATCATTTGATTTTTAGAATATAACACCCCAATCTACTACATGTAGTGCATTAATAAATAGAATTTTGAGTCTTTTTATAGAATAAAATAAGTTATGATGAAATAAAAGCAGCGTACTTTGTTACATCTGCTTACATGTAACTAATTGTGTGTCGTTCACAGAAATCGATTAAAATTTTCTGATATTGATGGCAATATTAATTGGTTAATAATAATTTCGTTAAGTTTATGAAGAATGATTTATAAAAATATTAATGTCTAGCAAATTTTTTAGAAATTGTTATAAAAAGGAGGATCCAACCCTGCCCTTCTCAAATCGTTCTTCTTCGCCTTATTTTTTTTTAAAGGGGGGGGGGGTTAAGGTTAACAGATAACAAAACAGTACCTGTATATGCCCAAAATAATCAACAATCTAAATCCACTATTGAGCTTTGAACAGTTGAATACTTTGAAATTATTTTTTTTCTACATGCTCACAATGCTTTTTGCAATAAAACATTAGATTTCATTACGATAAAACAGATTAAAAAACGTTCTATTTCAACGTTGAAATTGATTCAGATGCATGATGTGTAAAATACGGTAGTTGTTTGTTTGTTTTGTTTTGTTTGTTTGTTTTTTTTTTTTTTTTGGTTAAGTTTGTTCCGTTCATAAAAAAAGTTTTTAAAAAAGTCTGTTTTTCTACTTCCAAACGGATTTTTTTAATTTGATGTTTTTTTTGAAATACGTTGATAAAATATTTTTAAATAATTTTTATTATTCAGGGCCGTAGGAAGCAATTTCAGTTTTTTTTTTTCCGGGGGGGGGGGGGGGGGGGAGGTGGGCAACCATACATTTTCAGTTGGGGCACTATAATATCGGCAAAATTATTTGGGGTTCCTACGGCCATGTTGTTCATACAAACCAATTACGTCCAAGGTATGGAATACATGTACAAACATAAAAAAAGAGGCACATAATGATGTCAAAAGATTGTTTTGTGAAAGTTTATTTTAACATGAAAATTGAAACTATAAGTCATTTTTTTAGTTTTTCCCAAGTTAATCAGGTTATATCAAAAGCTGTCTTCTTTTTTTTTAACCTGTGCCCCCGACGCTTATCACTTGGACACAATAATCGTACATCATTTCTTAAAAGGGCGTAAACTGTTATCTCAAATGAAACACTAAGGAAATTGGTTTCTTTAAAATAGATTTCTAAGACCGCGATACGTTAACTGGCAAGACTGGAAATATACAGCTTACAGGTACGTCATTTCCATCTGTTACAGCTAAAATATTTGATGATCGAGACGACACTGATATGGGCTGTCCAAACTCAAAAACTTTCTGCTTATTTCTAAGATCTACCCCCCCCCCCCCTCCGGAAACAAATGTTCGTCCTCTTATTATTTCTTTTAAACAAAAACATTGGACAGATAACTCTGATTTATATATAAATGTCAAACTATTCCGAAATTGGCATTATTTGTCTTCTGGATCTATCACTAACACTGTGCGTACAAGAGTAGCTGAGGTGATTAAAATGAATTTTGAACTAGAATTTTAATCCATGTATTCTCAGACGCCTTCGCCAAATTATTATACATGTAATTACCCGCTCAAATGTTTTGACTCTAATAGGTAAAAATGACGTAAGCTGCATATTTCCAAACCATGACAGTTAATGTTCCGCGGTCTTAATGTCGGAATGAATTGGAAATTCGCGATCATATTGCCAGAGACATACTATCACCTGCTGGACATAGAAATATAGCCGTTAGTCACGTGTCATGTTTAAGCTTACTAAAATTCGAAATTTCAATCCTAGGAAAAACAGAATTCCTTGTAGCATTGCGCTTGATCTGAAATAATGATCTTTCTGGGTTCCTGGAATAAAAAAAAATCTCGCGAGAGATTTTATTGTCTGGTTTCCAACTCAGATTTACGGAAAGTTCTAAAATTAATTTTTTTTAAGTAGAGTTTGATCAAAGAGATGTTTGTACTGCGCTTGGCTCTTTTCTATATACACTGTATGCATATTTAACGCAGCTGGACTTTTCTGAGCAAAGTGAAATACAGCTGCATTACAATTTTGACGAAATCTGAAATTGAAACTGAATATTTTGCAAGACTTGAATATAGTTTTATGCAGTCATCTTCCTCCGTGACATCAGCTAATCTGACATCTTGAAGCTTTTCATACTTCGATGCAATGAAATGTACATACAATTATGTCTCAAGCAATAATTAAATAATACGCCCATCACATATTTATAATTTTTTGTATAAGGCGAATTAGGCGATGCAGGTAAGCAATATCCATTTATTTAATGTTCGAAACTCTACCGCTCTACTCGACTCTCTGCATAGGCTAAGTGGAATCTTGAAATTACAGAACATGACTGGTGTTTTTGCCTGTTACCACAGGACAAGATTAAAAACGTTTTTTTTTTCTTTAAAGGCAGAAAGTTGTGTGTATGTCCTTTTTTCCTCAAAGTCATATACAATTCAACGGAAGTCGAGATATCTGGGATGTCGAGATATCAGAGTTGAAACTTGACGTTCAAGATTTCAATGCTTAACATGGCTAAATTATTACATACACGAATTCAATAGCCAACTTAAAAAAAAATGATTCCTTACATTTTTCACGGTCATTAAAGTTTTGCACGAATCTCCATTTTTCTTTTGTTTGTTCGTTTGTTTGTTTGTTTGGTTTTTTTTTTTTTTGGGGGGGGGGGGGGTTGCTCAAAACATCATTTTATTTTTATCTTTCCAATAATGTACAGATTCCATAGTAGTGTTTGGTTCATGATTTTGAACTTTTTCATAATTCTGAATGACATCCAAAACCACTTGTTACATGTTATAGTACATTTTTTTCCATCACTGATTTATTTTCAATCGGTGTTGTTAACATTTATCAGAAGTTCAATAATAATTTCTTTACAGCCTTATCTACTAATTAATCTACTGTTTGTTCTGTTTCATACATATTTTTAAGCAAAAGGTCACTGTCGATTTAATTCTTATTTTCTTCAACTATGAGTATAGTGCTCTTCGAAAAAGTCCACATCTATTTAGCTGTATTCAATTCCTAAAAAAGTTGCAAGTTCATTTCAAACTGGCTTTTATCAGAACAATTCCATATTATTTTCAGGGACTACTATTTTTTTATGCATTTAATCCATTATTTCAATTTTTTTATTTAAGCAAAATTTAGATTTTTTTTGTGCCCCCTCCTCTGTTTTATAGTGTGTTAATTTAGTATAGCTGTGTGCCCCCTCCCCTCCTCTTTGGTGTTGTTTAATGTTTAAACGTAGGTTCAAGCATCCCATGTTACCGGTATTCATATTCAAACAACGATGAGGCCTTTTTTTTTAGTTTGAACTATTAGCGGTTGCCTTTTCATTCGTCGATTTTTTTTGCTTGTCAATTATCTCTGCATGCTTAACCCCCCCCCCCCAACCAACCAACTAACACTCATTTGGAATAAAATCGACGCTATACACCCTGAACCTGAATAATCGAGTATATCAATATGATTAACTGGGGATTAAAATCAAAATGGTTAAAACATTTTATATGGTGTTATTCAGAACAAAAAACCACTTATAAAATAAAAAAATGCTTATATATATGTGCACCGAGCTCTTTCTCTTTCTCTCTGAAAAAAAAAATATAAGCATGTAAATGTATATATCACCGGGGAAAATAAGTGTAAAACTTTCCGTCAACAATGAACCATAAAAATGCAAACGGAAAGTGCGCCATACTTTATTTACAATGCTAGCGTACTCCTAAATTGACGTCATAATTTAACTTCAACGTAAGAAATATGACGTCATATTTAGACCAGTACCTATGTAAAAATAATGAGCTATATCTGTGTCAAAATATAGATATTACTGTGTTAAATTACACGTAAGGTATATGGTTAATAAATGAAAAAGTAAAACATTTATTGAAAAACGACATTTTTGTCGGTTTGGCGTTGACACAGTAAACGACATTTATGTCGCTTTGGCGTTGAAAGGGTTAAGTCGACTTCTCAATGTACGATTGCCCAAGCATGGGATAGTCCAAGAGTTATTCCTCTTGTACATATTCTGAAAATGAAAGTAAGAAAGAGCAGACGCTGAGTGACTAGTTACCTGCGATCTTCAAAAATTCCTGTTTTGTTTGTCTGGCTGTTTGGTCCCTCGGAAACATGATGAAGTCTTGCCGAATGTCGTTGATGGCCTGGGTCACAGAACGGCAACATCTACCGACTGTGCACTCAGAAACATTTACACTGTCCCCGATCAATTTATGAAAAGCACCCGTAGCCAGAAAACGCAAACAGACCAACAGCTGCAACAGTGGAGGTAAGGCTTGATTTTTTGTGGTGTTTATTAGTTTGTGTTCAATCAGAGTCATCAAATAGACGATTGTAGGCCGCCGAAATCGAAATCGTTCGTAAAGTCCGTCGTCTGTGTACACTTCCATAGGATTTAGACGATCTTTTACTACCCTACGTTCGGGTCTTTCTCTCCTCAGCAAAAATCTTCTATATTTTCGTCGTCTTCTACGCCTGTCCGCCATTTTAATTCTGTTGAGGAAAACTCAAATTTTTTGTGGTGACGGTGACTTGAGGGTGAGGTTATGAATTTGAGGGAAAACCTCAGAGTTGAGGCTGAGTATTGAGTTGAGGGATGTTGGTGACGGCGGGGCCTGAGAGGTAAGAAACCATATTTTTAAATAATTTTAATATTTTAGCTTTGTCATCGTGATGACGTCCTGCTTGGTAACTGCTAGGAAGCGTTGCGTTTTGGTTACTGTTGTTAGGTACTCACTTCAATCAGTTGCGAGTAGACGTGCTTTTCACAGAGCGACAAAAATCTCAAATATCACAATGAAAAGAGAAAGGTCTTCCGAGAGAAAGAGCAAGAATGTTTCTAAAAGGGTAATCTTTCAGAAAATAAAATTTCATTGCTCTTTAATGCTTCTTTTTATGATCTAGAGCTATTTACAATATTTTCAAAGAGGTCAAAGGAGTACAGGAATGTCTGATTTATTAACTTTGACAAATTTATACACAAAACATGTATTCCTCAATTTGTTTGAGAAAATAATTTGGAGAAAACATGCAACCGATCTCTTAAAACACATATGTACACTATACACAATGTACACACCCACATGACAAACACAACAATGGCCGGGGAGGGGGGATGTTGTTAGGGATAAGAAAGTTATTTTAGTACAAGGACTTCAACATAATGGGATGAACAAACAAATCCTCAGTGGAAGGGCTTGAGCAGGATAAACAAAATGAAACTTCAAAACATCGATGTAAACATTGACAGAAAGCAATGCATATGCCAGGAAAAAAAATCGGAGGAAATTCGGTTAACAAAATAAAATGTTTCATTCAATAATGACAGTCTTTAATTCTACATTACATCTAATGAAAACTTTGTAAAGTTACTTTTTATAATGTATCTTTCTGACAATATTTGCCTAATAAATCATTGTAATCATTTAAAAATAGAAAATATCTATATCATCTGACCTCAATGTTGACGTCGGTAATTATAAACAAAGGGGAAAGCACTCTTCAGCAACCCTATTTACAAGTGGAGGATACTCCAGCAATTTTCTTTTTGTTCCCCTTTGACTTTTTTTTAGGTAATTGTTTTAAAAATCTGATGTGGACCAATGGCCGTAAGAACCGGGGGGCACTGGGGGCATGCCCCCCTTCCCCAATAATTTTGCCGATATCTTCAATTCAATTTTTTTTTATTGATTCACCAAACATGCAACCATGTTACATACAAAATGACGGAAAAATACAGTGTGTTTCCAGTTTGCTAAAACATACACTAAAGTACATACATACATGCAAGTGTACAAATCAGTGAAGTCAACTATGTTTACAACTTAAAGTTATACAATTAATCATTATGCAAACAGTATAATATGAACAGAGATAATACATTTTTTGCAAATCTTTATGTATAGGACAGTCATATATGAAATGTATTTCATTTTCTACAACAGTTTTACAATAGTGACAAAAACGAGATTCTTTTTGGATACAAGGCTTTGAATATCTGCCTATTTCAATTTCTAAAGGGTGTGCAGAAATTCTCAGTTTTGTTAATTTAGAATGTACAGATTTATTAACTGGAAATTTCTAGTAGTCTTGTAATATATATATATAGAATAGTGATATATAGAATAGTGTAGAAAACATAGAGCTCTACTATATGCTTGTGCCCCCCTCAATAATAACATCTGGTGACATTTTTTTAGCTTGTCAAGTTTTTGGTGGTTGATAGTGCCCCCTCCCCAACTGAAAAATGTGTGGCTGTGCCCCCCCCCCCCAACTGAAATTGCTTCCTACGGACCTGGAACCTTTTAATTTCAATGATTTATTTGACTGACAGTAACTGTGTGAAATTTGAACAGTTCTTTCTCCTCCGCTTGGTATGGCCATTTGACAATATGCATCTTTTTAAGCCTTTATTTTTGCTTAATTTTAAAACTGCAACACTTCTTTGAATACCATTAAAGTACTTATTTTTACGACTGCAACTTTTAACCATATACTCTACACCGGCATAACCACAATATGTTAAATCACATTGATTGTAATTCACATTCCTATATTGTAATTGAATTTATTTTGAATTTTCGACAGAAATAACATGTGATTGAGAAAAAAAAATCCAGAAACAATATGGCATGCCGTTCAAATCACAATATTTTGATGAAAACGATACTTTTGACTTAGGTGGATTATGAGGTTTGGGAGGTTTTTTTTCATTTTGGGCGGGGAAAATACTTTCATTTTGGGGGGAGTATCTTTTTTTAAAGGAGCGAAAAAGTGAAGGTAAAACTATTTTATTGCTAACATGTTTAATTCTTAGACAAAAAAATATAAGCAATGGAATACTTGATAAAAGTTTAAAGAATCAAATACAACGTATCATATTGACGTAAAAACCCCCGGAAGGGGGCGCGTGCCCCCCCCCCCCCCCTTCAATAATTACGTCTGATGGCTTTTTTCCCTTGTCAAGAAATTTTTGCTTGGTATAATGCTCCCCTAAATTGAATATGAATCCCCCCTTCCCCGCCAGTAAAATACATAGTCCTTTTTTCAAAACTGTAAACATTGTACATGCCACCGCATACGAGATAAAAGTTATGAGAAAATTCGATGTCTGTTAAATTAAAGCATATTTATGATAAATTATTAGTTATTTATCCAGCATTAGAAAAGCATTACAAAAATGTGCATAATTTTTAATCGATAGCTCTTTTTTTTCGTTTTAGCGCCGTATAGACACCTCTTCAAATGACAGTCGTCAGTGGTACGAGGTGATGCTTGCCCTGGCGGCCAAATCAGCTGTAAGTCCTCTCTCTCTCACACTCCCTCTCTCTCTCTCTCTTTCTCGATCGATCTCTCCAGTGAATACTCTCTATAATCCCTATAATTTCTCTCCAGTGCAAACAAGTCTTTACTTCTGCTGCTCACGAATGGAGAGAGCACATTAAAGACTGGGTAAGAGTCTGAGTGCTAGCATTTTCAACTGCAGTTACCATGTAATTACATGTACATGAAAATGTATATCAATAAGACTAATGCTTATTTTTCCGTTGGCTGTACATAAATTATCATTATGCTTTTAATATCATTTTTTTACTAGTATGAGTTGACCCATGCCATCAACAAGTCTGAGGAGCGTAGGGAGCTTCCTACCATACCTCAACCCACGCACCAGGTAAGTGTCCAACTCACATTTGCAGTGTTCTAACGTACATGTATAATACTTTTTAAACTCATACAAAATGTATGAAATTGGGTAGGGGGCTTTATCTTTCCTTACTTGGACGATTGTAAGTCATTAAATAACAGAGGTTTACGATATAAAAAAATCTCTTACAGATGGAGTGGTTGGCGAGAGTCAATTTTGAGCACAGATCCATGCGCCGTAACATACCACAACAGAGACGTCATAAAGTCTCCACCAAAAAACAAGACTTGAATTCCTCTTTTTATGTCTACTAAAGAGCAGACTGATATGGTAAGTAACCCCTCTTGGCACTCAATACAATATGTAGAATAGTTCACAATCACACACCTGTAATTAGGCCTGTTTTAAAATTACCCTTAGCGTTTAAGTGTTAGCAATACAGCACGCAAAAGGGTCACAGAGATGTCCCAAACTTGAAGATACCCAAACTCTTATTAAATTTATTGACTATCAATTTTAACATTTTGGAGAAAACAGAGCTCATATTTGTCCGTAATCAAAAATATTTGACGTTTTCCTGACTTTTCCCCCCACGATTTTGACTGCCAGGAAAACGTTTATTTGCACGTCAAATATCAAATTCTTGAAAAAAGCCTGGATATTTCGCACTAATCTCATGATAAATATTCTAGTATTTATGATATTACACAGTTAAAGTATACCATTGAGGGAGTTAGCAAGATTCCAGTTCCCCTAGGCTAGGACTATTTTCCGAGGTTTTATAATACAGATTTCTATATTCAAAAGTAAAATCTAGAGGTTTAATGATAACTGGAAATTAGCTCTCGAAGCAGGGATCAGCTTATTTGATTGACGCAACGCAAAACTCACAGCGATCTCTAGAGAATATTACGGATAACCCAAAATTAGTTTTCAAAACTGGAATTAGCTCACTTGACTAACGCACAGCAAAACGGGAATTAGTCCATTCACAGCGATTTCTAGAAAATTGTTCTCATCTAACGATCTAATTTTAAAGAAAAAAAAAAATCAAATGAGGTACAATAAATATAGATATTGATGTGTTTTTTTTTTCTTTTTTGTAGGATATGTCTGCATGGGCGCAAATTGTTTGCAAATATTTGAAACATACTGAAAGCCGCCATCATCACAGTACAAATGTGCTTTGAATTTGCACAATCTCGCTTCTTTTGGGGCATGTGTATGAATGTGCAGTTTGATACATACAACACAGTTGTTGCATTGTTTTGGCAAAATTATAACCATCTCAGTACCACTGTCGTCAGTTAGTGTTCACACCGTTTCTGCACTGCATTTTTATGATCCCTTATGTGTGATGTACATATAGACAATGTTTTATATATGTATAATTATAGAATTCATTTGCTGCATGCTTTAGCAGATGTCTTTATTTATTTGGCAAAGTTTTATTTGCTCTTAAAAGGATGGATGGAGAGAGAGAGAGAGAGAGAGAGAGATTAGATTAGATTTGATAGATAGATAGATAGATAGATAGATACTCAATCTAGTTTACTGACAAGGAAACTCTGGATCACTCACATTATTTTACTCATACACTATGTGTATATATGTATATAGTAAATGCATGATGTTTTTGATGTTGAAATAAAACATTAATTCTTCAAAAAATTGAGTTTGTTTTTTTTATTACCTCCGTTGATATCCTGAGAGCTTGTTGTCGGGAGCAGGCAGTAAATGAAAAAAGTATGGAAAATAGATGCATGCTCTGACAAGCAGCATGTTGAAATGATATGAATGAAAAGTTGAAATAAAAAATAAGAACTATAATTTCAATACTTGTGGCTTTAGGAAAAAGTAGATTCCCGTCCGTCTAATTCGAAAGTGAAGTTCTGGTATAATGAATTGCAAACGCAAACTGTACGCAGCGATCTATAAAACAGACTACGGCCTACTAGATCTCTTAGAAAGGGACCAGTCCCTTTTTTGATATATGAGAAGTTGTAATTTAAGATCCTACACATTTTCCCCATGATTTAATAATTACAAAATGTTGATAGTTTTTAAAATGAAATGATATATTTTAGGTGCTAGTTTCACAGTTACGTTATATTGGAAGGAATATGAGTTACAGAACATACGACAAGGCCAATGGTATCATTTCATCATCCAATTTGCACTCCCTGATTACGTTATTTGCATGTAAGAGTGCATCAGTACCAAAGAAAACATTTTCAGTTTGTGGGAGAATTTGACTTAACAGAGACCCATAGGCCACAAGGTTCACCTGGGTCACTACGCCCTACTGCTCTTCGTCAGCAGATTTTTTTCTTATATATCGCTTTTGTGGCCCCACCATACATGCGAGGTTATAATTTGTAGAAACTTTAATCTACACTATCTGAGGATACTTCATTATTAATACGGCTAATAATATCTTTGCCGTTCTTCAGTGGAAGATTTTTGGAATAAACAATATAGATAAATAAATAAAATAGGTGATTTTACAAAGGTGATTTAAAAAGTTTTATACCGGAATTTCATTATTCGAAACACTGGCCACATCATTGTGACTCCATGATTTCAACAAATTTTATCTACACAACTTGAGAATACTTCCATTTCAATATGACATGCCTTTGCTGCTCTTAAGAATAAGAATTTTGAAGATTTTTGCCAGTTATTAAATTCCTGTGTAAAACTTTGAAAATCACCCACATAAAAATCACCTATTTTAGCCCGACCCTTCCCTTGGGGGTCATGATTTGAACAAACTTTAACTATACTGCTTTAGGATGCTTTCATATATTAGTGATTATTCATGTCTTTGCTATTCTTAAGATATTAAAAGATTTTTCCCTATATATTTCTAAGTAAAACTTGATCTTCTATTTTGCCCCCATCCCAAATCATGATTTGACCAAACTTGAATCTACACTGCCTGAGGATGCTACCATATTAATATTCCTAAACTTGCTTATAAAATGCTGTTAAATTGCATAAAAGATTTTCCAAGATATTCCTATGTAAAACTTTGATTGCCCATTGTGGCCCCACTTACCCCCTTCCCACCCTGGGGTTTGTGATTTTCACAAATTTGAATCTACACTTTGTAATGAAGCTTTCATATAAGTCTCAACTGTTCGATCTCGCCCTGTAGTTCTTGAGGAGAAGATTTTTGAAAGATCTATGCCATCCATTTTCACTAATTCTTAATTATCTCCCCTTGATTGAGAGCATGATCCCTTCATTTCAATAAATTTGAATCCCCTTTACCCAAGGATGCTTTTTGGCAAGTTTGGTTGAAATTGGCTTCTTGGTTCCTGAGAAGACAATGAAACGTTAACAGACAGATAGACAGCCAGAGTGACACGGACAAATTCAATCAGAAAAGCTCACTTGAAATAACTTCACTCAGAAAAGCTCTCTCTCTCTTCTCTCTCTCTCTCTCTCTCTCTCTATATATATATATTAATATTGATATAAATTATAATTAGCATGGCCGTAGGAACCGGGGGGGGGGGGGCACGGGGGAGCCATGCCCCCATATAATTTTGCCGATATATAGATTACTGTAGAAAACATAGATACTATATGCTTGTGCCCCCTCAATAAAAATGTCTGATGACCTTTTTATGCCCCCGGATCGAAAGATCCCGGGGGAATATTGTTTTTGTTCTGTCTGTCTGTTTGTCAATTTGTCTGTCTGTCTGTTGTCAACTTTAACCTTGTCCATAACTTTTGATTGGTTGGAGCTATGACTTTCATATTTCACATGTATATTCCTTGTGACAAGCCCTTTCTTTGGGTACCATCATATTTGAACTTTTGACCTTGACCTTGGAGTTTGACCCACTTTTGCAAAATTTTAGGAGACTTTAACCTTGGCCATAACTTCTGAACAGTTGGTGCTTGGGGTTTTAAACTTCATATGTGTATTCTTTGTGACAAGGCCTTCCTTTGGGTACCAACAACTTTGGCCTTTTGACCTTGACCTTGGAGTTTGACATACTTTTGAAAAACTTTAACCTTGGCCATAACTTTTGAACAGTTGGTGTTTGGGGTTTCAAACTTCACATGTGTATTCCGTGTGACGAGACCTTCTTCTGGATATCAACCTCTTTGACCCTTTGACCTTGACTTAGGAGTTTGACCTACTTTTGAAATACTTTAACCTTGGCCATAACTTTTGAATGGTTGATGCTAGGGCTTTCATACTTCACATATGTAATCCTTGTGACAAAACCTTCCTTTGGATACCAACCACTTTGACCTTTTGATCTTGACCTAGGAGTTTGACCTACTTTTGAAAAACTTTAACCTTGGCCATAACTTTTGAATGGTTGATGCTAGGGCTTTCATACTTCACATATGTAATCCTTGTGACAAGACCTTCCTTTGGATACCAACCACTTTGACCTTGACATAGGAGTTTGACTTACTTTTGAAAAACTTTAACCTTGGCCATAACTTTTGAATGGTTGATGCTAGGGCTTTCATACTTCACATATGTAATCCTTGTGACAAGACCTTCCTTTGGATACCAACCACTTCGAAACTTTGACCTTGACATAGGAGTTTGACTTACTTTTGAAAAACTTTAACCTTGGCCATAACTTTTGAATGGTCGGTGCTAGGGCTTTAATACTTCACATATGTAATCCTTGTGACATCGCCTTCCTTTGGGTATCAACCACTTTGACCCTTTGACCTAGACATAGGAGTTTGACCTACCTGGTACTTTCGAAAAACTTTAACCTTGGCCATAACTTTTGAATGGTCGGTGCTAGGGCTTTCATACTTCACATATGTAATCCTTGTGACAAGACCTTCTTTTGAATACCAACAACTTTGATCTTGGCACTTTACTTTTAAAAATCTTTAACCTTCGCCATAACTTTTGAACAATTGCAGCTAGAGCTTTCAAATTTCACAGATATATTCTTCGAGACAAGACCTTTCTTTGAGTACCAACATTTTTTATCTTTTGGTCTGGATTTTGACTTGCATTTGAGAAACTTTAACTATTGCCATATGCTGCCATACAGGGGCATCAATGTTTCACAAACATATCTTTTTTTTTTTTTTTTGCTAGTCAAGAAATTTTTGGTAGTTCATAGTGCCCCCTCAACGGAAAATGTATGGTTGTGCCCCCCCCCCCCCCCCCCAACTGAAATTGCTTCCTATACGGGCCTGATTAGTATAGACGTCGACTCTCTCTTCGTGTCTTTGAGTGAAAATTCTCGAACTGGACGTAAAACAACAAACAATCAATCAATCAACACAAGCAGTAAAAACTCTACTTGTGCATAGGGGCTTGCTCCTGTCGTGTAAAAAATATTTATTACAAAAAGACACATATACGATATACTAAAACAACACGTGTTGTTTATAGCTTTAGTATATCGTATATGTGTTTTTAATAAATATTTTTACACGCCAGGTGGAAGCCCCTGTGTTGTTTTAGTATATAGTATAGGTGTCTTTTTGTAATAAATATTTTTTACACTCATACGTTAACATGTAACGGTGAAGGGCTTCAAATTTAGACCTTTAATCGACACGTAGGGCCATTGAGCAGTGCGGGTTCTTTATAGTGCCAACGCCCTACCGTGACACGGGGTCTTTAAAGTCCCATCCGAAGGACCCGCAACTTTCACTTCAAATTGCCGTGCGCTTGGCGAAGGAACAGTTGCTACCTATTTTTCATCGACTGAGGTCAGTCGCACACAGGCACTTCTTTCGTATACGGAGCACCCCTTACTTATTTTTACCACAAATAAGTAGGGGTGCACCGTATACGAAACAAGTGCCTGTGCAGTCGCGGCCGTGATTCGAACACACGACCTTCCGATCACGTTGCTTGTAGTGAAGAAAGAAAAATAAATCTGTCTCTGATCATCTTGAAAAGAAATGATCTGTCCTTGTTTGGCATATTACTAATTCTAATGTCGTTTTTTTTATTTAAAATCTATCTCCTGTGTATCACAGGATACAAAATTTAATTAAACCCTATACAGGCGACACATGAGTTCGAACTGTAAGGGATCACTTTGTCTGTCGTCTAATGATTATGAAATCAAACAGGGGGGTCGTTTTAAATTCCAAACATTCATCAAAATGTTTTTAAAGCACATTTTGTAATCAATTAAAAATTTGTCTTATATTCTCGTTTTACTTTATTATAACATAAAACAAAAGATAATTTATTTATTCTGCTTTTGTTTAAATATTATTATTCGTTATAAATTGTCGTATTTTTATTTGAAAAATGTTTTATTTTACAGAAAAAGGGAGATTACTTAAGGAAATTTGTTAAATTGTGCATGTTCTTCCGGATGTGACATCACAGAAGTTACTCAAGTTTGAAGAACATGAACTGAACTTACCGTCTAAGGGGAAAATGCGCTTTCCAAGTTTGCTGACACTTGTTTTCATTTTCATAATTTCATTTACGTGTTCAAAGACCAGAAAAGTAAAATCATGCGTGTGTTCCGACTCTAGTCTTTGTTCTAAAGAGATAAGGAAGTTCAGCAGGGAGGTATGTAACTTTGTTTTTTAAATGTTTTGGGAATCATCTGTGAATCTTTAAGATATTTTTTTAGACAAAATATTATTGGAATAGTCAGAGTTTCTGAAGACGAATAAATCTTGTACGAATTGAAGACAATCGGTGATTCCGGAAGTATGACTAAATGTCCCTAGCTTCTTGATTTGTGTACACTGTCACTACACTGAACTGTTTATAATTCTCTTCAAACTCGTATGATATCATAACTAAAACAATGAGGGTTTCATGGATAAAATTAACTTTATGTGTACATGTTTTACTGTTCATATCGGGGATTTCATCTGATTCTGCTGTGAAGTACAATATCCATCATGATTGTCCGTGTGACCCAGTTTATTGCAGAGTGCATAAATTTGAGTACAATGAAGAGGTTTGTTCTAATTATTTTTGTTTTCTTTTGAAGGGGAATGGTTTTAATGTCCATTCACTTTTTTTCGAGACCGCATGAAAAGAAAATGTAACCATACCTATGATTTAAACAAATATCACAATGCAGTGAAGATGTAGTCCTAAAACAGGTCCATGGCACAATTTCCTGTTTTAGCTTTATAGCTTGAATTAGCTATATAGTTTTATCAAACTATTCAGAATAGTTCGATAAATCTGTTTTAGTCTATTAAAATTGCAAGTATGTTACTACTTTGTACTATGGACTTTCAAAAAAGCAATCTGTTTCAAACATCGTTTTAAACATTGCTGCTTTTGAACGCTTGTAAGCAAAAGATATAATTCCACTGTATTGGTAACTGTGAGGCATGTACATCTATGATTACTTCACATTGTACTGAATTATTACCAATCAGTACATAATAAAATATGTTATAAAAAAAGAGTTGAAATGATCTTTCATGGGAAAATTAAAATTGCTCTTTATCTTGAATATCTTCAATACTCTGTGTTTGTACTGAAAGTTGTTGTAGCCCATATTGCATTGCCACTCATTCAACTGATTGGTCAGTCGGTAAAGTAAACAGATAGCTCATTTAACATGCAAATTTATGCTGAGGTCAGAAAATCTAGTGGTCTCCATCTGTTGAGAGACTCTGTATTTAAAGCCGAAAAAGGTTAGGGACTATATAAAGCAACTGATTTGTGACTAGTATTGCAAAATCGGACCATATTTACTATCAATTATCAAATTAATTCGGTGGCATACAATGGATTATAAGATCAATATTTTGAACTTTAATTAAAGGTTACAAGAAATAAAGTCAAACATGTAAATATTCAGATATCCTCTTAAATGAAAACGACATTCATTATGCACGTTTGTGTATATGGATATGGACAACCTGTCCCACTTCCATGCTGATATGGATACTTTTTGTGCCTCTATCTTGAAACTTGCATAATGCAGAGGTGTCTGAGAGAGAAATGAACTACAACTCTGCAAGGGAGATTGTTATAGTCCAAGCTACACTTTGCAAAAGTTGTTTCCCTTTGTGGGGTCAACCAAGAGGTCAATAGGGGAAAAAGCACTTTACACTACCAAATATTTGGGCATGCTGTGATTAATTGGCTGCCATTGTTAACATATATTTTCTTTCAGTGTATGGGTATAGCCCCATCCTGGGGCAATCAATATACAAGATCCAACAATTATTTTCAAGTCAAATGACAAAGTTACAAACCTTAAAGTTGCAAAGGCTAATGTGAGAATTTTATGGTTTTTCCCCAAAGATGGCAACCAAGGGAAATATATTTTACACATACATATACTGTAAACCAACTATTATTCGCGTCAACTTTTATTCCCGATTCGACGATTCATTTTCGCGATGGAGGAACATTCTCTACAAATAAAAAGCAGATTAAAATGGTTTGCAGCGATTAATATTCGTGAGTTAAAGTTGGTCGCGAAACTCACGGACATTTCTTGCACGCGAATAAAAGTTGGTTTACAGTAGGTGCTCCCCATCTAGTTTTGTAGATGATAAGTATACAGTTAAACACGCTTATAACAAATTGCCAACTTTGCTACATTATCAGCGTAATTCGTTATATCCCTTAAGATTATAATATTTTAAAGTCACAGGGAATGAAAAATCACTTCACTATAAGTGTCAATTCATTATAAGCTTGTTTTACTGTACATAGGTCTATCCTCTATACTATAGTTCAGAGGGGTAGACCTTATCATTTCATTATCTACAAAATTAGAAGGAGATTGATTGAACATGTTGAAGAAAAAAAAAGAATCGGTCATTCCTTTGATGGATAGTGGAGAATTAGTTACATAGAAATGTGTTGCTAAATTACATGAATCACATTGGTTTGAAATTATTTAATGAAATAGTTTAAATATTTTTGTGCTAAGAAAATTTACAAAAATTCTTTGCAGTTTGGTGACCAAAAGTATATTTATCAAATAGTAATTTAATACACTCTTACATGGAGATTATGACCAAATTTAGCTTGGTTTGTTTTATTTATGTAACAATGTAAGCAAAGTTTCATGTAATAATGTAACTTCCTTTGGTTTTATTGCAAAACTAGAAAAAGCCATATTTAAAAGGACATAATTGCTTTTTAAATAATGCTGGATGATTTTTTCACATGTATAGTCCTTTCAAAGGAAACTTTAGTTTCATTCACTGACTCTTGATTTATGAAGTAAAATTGTAGGTCATTAATCATTTAAAAAATGATTAAATATAGGAATTTTTTTTCTTGAAATATAGTCATTGTTTTTTTTAATCTCATTACAGAAAGTAGTTGTTGCAGAAGGCACATCAGACCATACAAAATGGCCTTGGTCCCAGATTACTACAGTCATTGCTACAAAGGATGTCCCGAATCGTACTGCTCAAAAGCTGATGTGCACTGCTCACAAAAATAAAGCCAACTTTGCATTTATTGGTAATTTCACTAAAATAAAATGTTAATTTGTTCAAAAATCCTTTAATTGAAAATTTCTAGTGAGTTGATTATTATATATATTGCAAAGCCTTGTAGTTGAAAACGTACGAAAACTGTTTTTAATATAATAATTTCAGAAAAGGTACCAGTTATAACAAATACTTCGGATCCCAGACTACAGAAGTGGCTGAATACGGTCGCTGCCAAGAGGGATCTGCTTTACGTAGATTATGTAGCACTAGATTTGCTAGATCTGTTGGGACAGTGTACTGCTGATAGCACCCATGTTCAGGAAGTACTGGGATTGTTGACATATATGGTTAAAAATTATTTTTTTCCTCACAGTGCTGAGGTAAGAATGTCAATTTTTTTGTTATTAAGGTTGTGATCATTGTAATTTAAATTTCTAGTCAGAGAGATGAGGAAGCATATAATTTAACATGTCAAAAATTACAGTATATTTTTAAAAGTTCTAAATTTTAATACATGATACATATCTTCTAAAATGCTATATTAGAGGTATTACACAAATATAGATTGAATATTTGCTATTTACACAAAACATTATAGAAGCACTTCTTATACATAAACCTACTGCTTTTTTAAACTGGTATAATTTCCTCTGTAGCTGCTATGTATTGTTCCATACAAACCTCCCTGTTACAATGGTGACTGTAGCTTAGCCAAGTATTTGACCGAGCATTGTGTTGCTTTTATCACCAGTCCTGAAAGCTTTTTCACATGTGATACCAATACAAACTGCATTGCCAAAGCCACTATGCCAATGACAAGCTTGGTGTATGGTAAGTATTTTGCCTTCATTAATGACGTTTGGTACAATATTGTGAAATGGAAAAAGTTGGTGAATTCTAATATTGCCTTCCTTTATAATGAAATGGAATAAGGTCAGGTGCTTAACATAAGGCTTGTCTGACTGACTCAGAGAAGTAAAAGATGTTCTAGTTTATTCGACATCAAAGTAGCCCAACTGGTCATGGAAAAAATATCTCTTAAGTTCAAATGAAGCAAAACTATTTTTGAAGGATATCTGAACATTTTATTCAATCATGTTTGCTTAAGTTTTTTGTTTTATCAATGTGTTAGATCAGGTTACACTTACATTTTTGATCCCAGTGAAAAATGAAATAATTATAAAAAGATTTGTCTAGAAAACTCTGCTTGTTTTATTGTACTATTTTACATATTAATATTTCACCAGTCTTGCCAGTACCGTTTGATTTTCTTGTAAAAGTTAACTGTATACCCTGAGTTATCCTTTCTGCCAGGTCATCATCTCTATGACAATTGTTTTAATTTAATAACAGAACTAAATTGTTATACAATACGATACATCTCCCTCTCTGATATTTTTCTTTAATTCAATCAAAAGAAATTAATAATATATACCGGTAATTTTTTTGCATCTCAAAAAGAGAACAAAAATCAAATGGGCAGTGCTTGAGATATGTCACAATGGCAAAAATTATGAAATATTAGGTTTTCTCCTTGATCACAGTGATTGCTATTATACATATTTTAAACATACCTAGTATTCAGGCAGAAAAGGTGTCAAATTTTGATAGTGTTCATACATGTATCTGTTATAAATGATAATTTATTTAAGTATTTTACTTATTTTTGTATAAATATTGATAGGTGTTTCATGAAGTTCATGAAATACTATGCCAACCAGGATTGAAAATCCATCTATTAGTTCAACAAGCTTTATTTATTCTTTCAGGTGTAGAAGAATACATTGATCATGGCATTTCTCCAGACAAGCTGTTGATTGGAATTCCTTGGCATGGCTATGATTACACCTGTAGTAATTCTACCATCCAGGTGTGTTCTGTTTTTTAAATCCAATGATTGATGTACATTCTTATTGATAGAAACAGGTTATGGTAATGTGATGTTTCTAGAAATGATATTTTTATCCTTTTTTAGAAGGGGTAGAGTTAGCTAGGAGTGAAACGGTTCACCGAGGTATCGATTCAACGCGGTATTTTTTCTCGGTTTGATACACGGTGCAAGATCTCTAATTTTCGGTACGGTTCATTTTTCGGTTGGGATCGTTATTCAGTCAGGTTTGGCATAAGGTAAAACACGTTACTCAGTATAAATAAGTATAGAAAACGTAAATTTTTGATGACTGATAGTCTGTAAAATAGTTTTCGACAGTCAAATAATTCTAATCAATTTCTTATAGTCAATTTGCTAATAAAAATTCATAGATAAAGGTACTAGATTTAGTAAAAGAAAGCATAAAACAAGGTATTTGTTTCCATCTATCAAAATGTATCGTATCGAAAATAACCATACCAAGACAAAAATTATACAATACGTATCGAACCGTGAAGGAGTTGTATCGTTTCACCCCTAGAGTTAGCCTCCTTCTTTTTTATGCCTTTGTAATGAAGTCGGAGGGGATATAGTAATGGACTTGTATGTGTGGGTGGGTGATTGAGTGTTTGCATGCGTAACAGTCAATTAAATTTTTTCAATTTTTAGAACTTTAAAAATTTGTTCTAGAAGATGTAAATATGGTTGTTTTAATCTCTATTTGGACACAAAATCAGTTCGCTATGTGCGTAAATTTGTTATTCAAAGTTTGTTATAACTGGAAAATTTCACAAGGAATTGTTTTTGCCATGGATTCCAAAAAAACTTCACTGTATACATGTATCTGTAAATTTGTTGTTATCCCTGTTCTTAAGAAAAAAGTTTTACTGTATGTGATTTTCTTTGAAAAATCAATCTTTGCCCTAAACCTTTAGAACAATATGAGACCAGTGTTTGATAGTATGCACTTTAGTTAGCTTTCTGACAGGCTTACCGACTTAGTGACCTTTAATTTGACCTATAAACTACTTTAAAAAAAAAGAAAGTTTTAAACTACAAGTTTTAAATCAAAGTTGGTCATAAATCCACCGTATGTAATTTTTTTTTGTTTTTGTATTTTTAGAAAAAGACTGGAGGTAAAGAAGCATTGACCTGTTATTTCGACAAGAAAAATGACAGCAGTACCTGTGATACATCTAAAAGGAAGAAAATCAGCCTAGCAGAGATAAAAGGCAACTATTCTGAACAGTATAGGAATGCCAAGGCACACCACTATCATCCTATTTATAGATCTGACTACATTAATATAATGGTAAGTGCTTCTGTAACATCCCATTATTTCCATTAGGCAAGTTTCAAAGTAAAACTTAGGTATAAAACTGTATTATTTGTACAGAATTAAGAATATGGTTTCTTTTTTTTATTTTTTTTGTTGTTGATAAATCTAGTTTATCCACTTGACCCAACTCTTGTCGTTTTTGAATTGAAAAAAAATACTCCAGGGTGAAATGGGAGGGAATAAGTTAAGTGTTTTTGTTACTAAAGTTGCATGGACTCGGCTTTGTGAAAATGATTATGAAAAGTAACTAGAGTGCTTATAAACAAAACTTGGGTACAGCCAAAATATCTTCAAAGGTTTCATTATTGTAGATAAATCATGTACAGCATCAGTTGTGGTACGAAGGGCATGATAGTCTACTAGACAAGTACATGTACATCAGATCCATGCAGTTTAAAGGTAAAATCAATGATCTTTCCCATCTTAAGTACATTTCCCTAAGTAATAAGCATCTGGGGTTTCTAACCAAAGGAGTTCATGACCCATCTTTGGTTCAGTTTAGGATATTGAATCCATCACCTCTATCTTCTCTGCCATTGCTCTGCTATTGTCACTGTGACACACACAGGATATGTATATTAATTTGTTAACAAGGACATGATCGTTCCAACTGAAATGCACTGATTCATCATGTATTTTGTTTGTTTTTTTTGTTTTTTATTTTTGCACATCAAAAAATTACACATAACAAAATGTCAGTGTTCTTTTTATGAACTTGCACAATTTGTGACATAATTTCTGAATTTTAAAATACATGTACCAGTATTTAGATTTTATGCATTGTATTAAAGTTCCTTTCCATTCTCAGCATGTTTAGAGGCAGATCCATTTTGATTAAAATCAGCCATTATAGTGTGCTACGTTTTGTTAAGGGAGTGGAACAAAATTTATTTTACCAAAAGAGCTGCTTTTAAAATGTCTGAGACAAAAAGAGTTTACAGAGTAATAAAAATTTATATTCCCTATTTAGCAAGAGTGGAAAGGTCATAAACAAAGATTGAAAAGGTCAGAGTTCATAGTAATTGACCATTCTGCAAAATTATTATTCAGAAACATAATTTAAGAAAGATGATACAGTTCTAATTTTTGACAAACATGATCTTTTGGGAAAAGATAAGTGCACAGTTTTCAAACATTTCTTCACACATATTTACAAATATGGCATAGAGTGATAGATGCTATTAATCCTATTTACACATAGAATGATTTTATTGAGAGCTACATACAGACATAAAAAGTGTTTACAAACATCTATTACTCACATTTAATGTTTATTGCTAATTTTAAAAGTGCGCAAAACATTAAATTATAGTTGGTAGCAATTTTCAGTGATAAGTACATGTCTTATTAATGTTCACAGGAAGTATTATTAATGTTTACAGGAATGGTCATTTGGACAGGAGATGACCTGTCCAGAAAAGGTGTGGAAGATGATACAGAATGGAATTGGATCCTCCACAGTTTATTCAGTGAAGGAGAGATACAGGAACACAATCTAAACATGGCCGGTACTGTGGCCGGTATTAGTGTGGGCTGTTTCATCCTGGGGAGTCTGTTGGGGTTTGCAGTGGGCTGTGGCCTTATGAGGAAGAGAATGCGAAATAAAGGTCTCCGCCTGCCGTTCCAGAGGGACGAAGAAGAGACAGACTTCCATGACGACGATAATGCTCTGTAAAATTGTTTAATTTGTATTTGTTGAAGAAATAACTATAATGTAAAAAGTTCCACTTTTCATCAGATTGTTAATGGGTAGGAAAAAATGCCATGTAATGATTATAAAAATTCTTGTATTCTTTTAAAGTCTATGGAAGCAGTGTTTTTAGGGGAAGACCTTTGACTGGTTTGGAACACATTGTTTAAAGTATAAGATCGTTTTTATTCTTCCCTTAAAATTATATTCACATTTTAATTACTGGTATGCATATCCAAGTACATGTATATATATTTGATATCAGTACTCGTCAACTATTATTTGCTATTGTATTATAGGGTTGGATACTATTAAGGATGAAACGGAATGATACCATAGTGGTATTTTTGAAATGATATGGTACTTCTTAGTGATACAATGTACCTCAATCTATCAATTTATTGATGGTACTAATGTGGTTTCAGTATGTAATATGCACAAAAACTTAACCATTTCCTTTTTTCAACTTTTTAAGAAATCAACAAATTCATAAAATTACATGTAAATTTACTGCTGTACAATTTGATTAAATTCACAATTAAAAGTATGATGTAAACCATGCTTTTCACAGTTGCCAAGAGGCACACTGTTTATGGTGACACTGTGTTATAAAATTTAAACTTGTCATTTATATATTTTCTGATCAAATGATTCAGTTTTTTTGAATTAATTTGAATGCATTAATTTAAATAATTAAACGAAGAGAATTAAATACCATCTGCATTATATTGAATCTGTTATTAAATGAAACAGTATTTTACCGATAATTTTGTAACAACTATTACAGATACAGAGAATCAGTGTCCAACCCATTAATTAATTAGATAAATATCAGAAACTTTTAGTAATTAGAATCTCATTCCTCTATAGAAATTCATCGAAGGCTCTTTAAATAGTCAACCATGTGTACATTCCATTTTTTTTTAATACATATTCATGCATGTTCATTTTGTATTTATTTATGCAATAATTCATGTGCAATGATGTCTACATATGTGTATGTGATAAATTCAATGTAATTTATATGTAGATATACAAAACTATTAGGTTGAAGTCCCACCCAGTATATTCAATTTCTTTGCGAGACTGCTGCAGAAAACCATAGCAATACATTTACAGTTTATATATATATATATATATATATATATATATATATATAAGCATGTTCTTTGAATAGTTGCTTTAATATGGTTGATATTTTTTGGCAGCTTTAGACAAACTCTTTTTTCTCAAAGAACATTTTTTTTTTTTTTAATTTACAAAATATTTTGGCTTTTGTAACTTGCGACATTTTAGAAAATTCATCATGACATGACATAGCACAGTTTTTCTTCAACTTTGGAAGTTCCTGACAAATCTCTGAAGCAGTCTTGCAATAACATGTACAGTGTGTATTGCATCACTAGTTGTCAACAAACATATCATATCATTTTTAAAAACCTATTTGAAAGTTTTAAATTTTGTCTTAAGTGTATTTTGATGTGACACAGTTTATAAGCAGTTTATGTTGTGTTGTTCTGCAATTGTTGTGTTTTTAATGATGTGTAGATTTTTATTTGGTCTTTGGTTGCAACATTTTATTTTTATCTTTCCATAAAGTCTGTATATAACTTTTTACAGTAGACCAGAATCATGTATATATGTCCCAAAGTACCATTCAGTAAACAAACATCACAGTAATTTGACCAAAAGCTCATCCCACATGTGAAAATGAGATTTCCTAGATTTTATGTTGAATGTTGAAGGTTAAACAAAAGAGGGGGAAGGTACATGTATTTAATGAAGTGTATGCATAAACTACTGTGAAATCACTAATTTTCATTGTTTTCTGGGTATGAAAAAACCCTTGAATTCATGTTCACCACAAAATGTAAAAATTTCATATACATAATTACTTAACACTTCCCCAAACCCAAAATCAAATTCCTCCGAACCTATATTTTTTCTTCAAACCGAGAAAATTTGACACCATGAAAATATGTGATTTCACTGTATACAAAGGACCATTTGAATGTATCAGACATTTCATTTTGAGAATCTAGTGCACAAGTACATTGTACAATGGTGCCAGCTAGATTTCCAGTAAAAATCAAATGAACAACTTTGCCTTTTTAATGACATATTACTTATTGTAAACAGCAGTGATATTTCATTTTCCCCCTTAAATGTATTTGTATTAGAATCTAAATTTTGTGAAAGAATTTGAGTGTAGATAAATCCATCTAGTGTATCCAGGTACGCTGAATTTTGTATGCAAATACTGTATATGCTTTTTAATACTGCTTATAATCAGTACCTATAATTTTTCTTCCTGAACATATCAAACTGTGGTACTCATTTTATATTGCAAATCATAATATTCGAATGGAGTGCATGTATTCTGATCATTTGATACAAAGCTACATGTATATATAAGCAGATTATTTTTTCTGAACCATATGGGAAAAAATGTGTTGCATTCATTTAAAGTTATATTCTCAACCATTGAATGTTTAATTAAAATCAAATAGAATTCAAAATACAACTTGGACCATTAAGATACATTTTAGACCATTAAGATACATTGCACATGTAGAAAGAGGTACATGAATAGATACATGTACATGCATTTTGTGTATTTGAAAAAGCTTTTTTAGTTTGAGAAGATTAATCTACAATCTACAACTGTCCTTTTCCATTATCTGAAGTTTTGATAACATATCAGTGCCATGATCTTTCAGATTTGATGATTTGCATGATTTTTTTTTTTTTTAAAACAATCAAGATTTTTTTTTGTAATGCTGATTTTTTTTTTGACTGCCTAATCAAATTTTGAAAAGAAATTGCCTTCTTGTTGTTTTTTGAAGATTAAAAGGTGTTGCATTTTCAGACTCTTTACTGAAATATATCCCTCTACAGTAAAACACGCTTATAACGAAGTGCTAGGGATCGAAGGACAATTTTGCTTTGTTATAAACGCAACTCGTTGAATTCACAATATATTTTCAGGTGAAGGTGAATGAATATCACTTTGCTGTAAGGGACAATTCATTATAAGCGTGTTTTACTGTACGAGTTTATGGAGACATGACACAGCTTTATAAAATCCAAATTGAATTTTACATGCTCTAATTATCCGGTCACTTGAAACAAATTAAGATTTCTCGATAAGCTTAACCTTCTATGCCATACATGTAGAAGGCATATTACAAATTCTAGTCAAAGATGTTCAAAAATACAAGAATTGATATCAGATTTGGCCATTTTTTTCGCAATGAAAAATCAGATTTGGCCTTTTTTTTGCAATAAAAAGTGAAATATTAATAAGCAAAGTATTAAGATATAAATCATATTAAAAAAATTGTGTGACATTTATGGAAGAAAAAGTTACCCATTTTATTTCCCATCAAGTTTGTTGTTTAACGCCCCTCAAGAGAATTTTTCACTCATGGAGATGCCACCACTTGTCAGTGGAGGGCTGCAAGTTTATACATTATGCTCGGCACTCAGGGCCATTGAGCAGTGAGGGATCTCTTTTGTGCCAAACCTACTGCGACACGGGACCTCGATTTATACAGTCTCATTCCAAGGACCGGTCTCCATGTCCCGCAGTGGATTCAAACCCACAACGTAAGGATCTGCTCCTTACTCCACAACTCTGGAGCAGACACTCTAACCACTGTGCCATGTGGGTGACTCCCCATCAAGAGCTTGATGCACATTCCCAAACATTGAAATTGAAACCACATATACAGGTATCTTTTGATGAAATTAAATACTGCAGGAGCAAACTACCAGACAAAAGTAGCATAAAAAGCACTGTTCACTAACTCTGCATAATAAAAGAATTAAAATCAGATCTCGCAAAGATTACAAAATTAAATCTATATACAAAAAGCAAATCGGGGATTACAAATAATAGTTTTCTCCTATAAAAACAAGAAAGCTGTCAATGTGACAGAAACGTGTTTTGTTTCTGTGAAAAGAACTGGTATTTCTCTCATGAATAGACAAATTTTCCATTTGCAAGAGTTATGCCACACTTTGAAGAAGGAAGGGCATAGTGCTTTGCTGCTGTCTGTCAGTCGGTCTGTCTTTCTGTCGGTACACCAACAGTTCCGTTCATTTTCTTCACAGAGGTTGCACATACTGAAATGAAATTTGGTATACAGATTTATCACAAGAATATCTAGGCCAAGTTCTGTTTTGGGTACAATTGAGCAATTTTTGACAGAGTTATGCCCTGTGGACTTAAGAAAATTCCAATTATTTACAGTTTTCGTTCATTTTCTTTGCAGAGGTTGGACATCCTGAAATGAAATTTGGTATACAGATTTATCATAAAAATGTCTAGGTCTGTTTCTATTTTGGGTGCGATCTGTCTCTCAGATACCCCTGCAATGGGCTCGTGTAAAGATTTTTGACATAAAATAAATTAGTAATATTCAGCATTATTTCAAATTACACTAATAGTTCTAGATCTTCTTAGTAAATACATGTATCAACCTTTAGGGACAAACATTAGTGCTGGCATTTAATTATAATGAAATTTAAAAAAACCCACAATATTTCTTGTGCTTATCACTGTGATATATGCGAGTCAAAGACACAGATGAATGTATGAGCTGATGGTAGAGAGTGGTGTAGCTTTCACCTGTCACTTCCATGGCATGGTACGTCACCAAATGCAACAGGAAAGGAAAATAATGCCAAGGACCAGGATTTGAACTCGTACCCCCTGAATCACTAGTCAAGTGCTCTACAGAGCTCTCTGGCCACTGGTGATCGAACCTGCCTGACCGTCACAAACTGAATAAGGGATATTAAAAATACATGTATATTCAATCCCTCATATGTTGAAAAACATTGCATTGAAAATCTTTCGTAATATAGTACAATGAAACAGTATTTTGTTACATAGTGATGCACAGAGTATGATTTGGAAAGGGAAGAGATGACCAATTACAATGTACATGCATCAAAAAATCATCTATTTTGTTTGTACTGTACTCTCTTGTAACAATATCTACTTTATTGGTACACCCATTTGTATAAATCAGACAAATGTATCTTTTTACAAAAATTTATTCACTGAAAAACAGTTTCGATGAAATAATCATTCATAAATAGATGTATATAACACTAGTAACAGGCTCATGATCGAGCTTCAGTTTCCTGTGCCAAAAGCATTCTTATAGCTTACCTATTAAAAAAGTTGATATATTGTGTTAGGATAAGAGCTTCACTAACCATTATAGGGATTTATCGTCTAGATAAATTGTTCAATGTTTGGAACCTTGGTGACATGGAATATATTTGGCAAAATGGGGTACAATCCAACCCAGCCATGACAGCTATCTCTCATTTTTTTTTTTGATTCCTCGCCTCTTTTTAGAGAGATGTTTTAGACACTAATTATAAGCAAAGTTTTTATCACTGGGGACGGAGACAATAGCAAATATGGTTATTTGCTATGAAATTATTATTTTTTGCTTCTTTGAAATATTGCGAGACCTACATTTTAGTATTGTTCAAATAAGACTGCAATGCTGCCATTTTGAAAAAGTAAGTACCCCAGTAGTGAAAATACATAACTATAAACCACTAATATTAGCAATTCATCAGCCTCTAATCTGTCTGCAATGACAGGATATTAGTTTTCATTATTGAGGAAATATTTTATAAAAATACACTAATAATATAGTGAAACTGGCCAAATCCAGAAGTTGTGTATTCCGAAATCTTGCCTAATATGATGCAAAATTCAAGTCCCTTTCAATAACTTCAATTTGTTAAAATTGAATTGTCTAATCCAGAATGCTGTCTAATCCAGCCAATTTCTCTAAAAACAGTGGTGTCTGGATTAGATATATTTTACTATTAAGAAGTTCGAGATGAGCCTCTCTAGCCAGTGATGGGGGGACAAATCCCTAAATGGTTTCAACATTAGCAAGTAAAATAAGGTCCCAAGACTATCAGATATTTCTTGCACATGAATAAAAGTTGGTCTACAGTATTCCAGACATACATATACCTATTTTAGCATTTCAGATCTGACAAGCCATTAAAAATTCTACAATACATTAACATATATATATATATACCACATAGATTGAAATATACACAATAAAATCACATTCACCAATACTGGATAAATTATTGTCTTTAAATAATTGCACTTCATTTCACTGACAAGCTCAAAATCTTACCCAATACTTTTTTTTCTTTGAGGACTGGGATTAAACATGATATAAAGATATAGGTATATTGAAATATGATGTGAACTGTTTGCCTTTAAATTGGGGGGGAACAAAGTTGTGATGCAGACACAACACAGTGTGTCCATTGCATATCAACCAGATTTCCTTGAAATGGAAACAATTCTAAAAAATCTTACTTCATCTGAAAATCATTAGCGGGTTATTCCTACCCAGTCAAGTAGAACAAGAATAGCTTCTTCCCAAGTTTACTATAAATTTCTGTAGGTTGAATAAAAGTGGTGACTACAGTCTATGATCGTATTACTGATTTGTGGTACATGCATTACCTCTTAACCCAAAAATCACCAAGATTTTTCTCCCATTATTCCAGTAGCAAGTATGACCGTAAGAGGTTGAACTTTTTCTTACTATGACTTTCAAAAATATGATGCATGCATAAACGAACAGATGCACAGGTGAACAACATGTATGTCCCCTTTTGCAAAGGAACCTGGAAAAGCAATCTGTCAATCCGAGTCTGGGTCATTTTTCCCCCTTTCATCTGGCCATTTTCTTTTCTGGTATTCACCTTTGAACTTCATCGTCATCAGTTGATATTATTTTCAGCAATTCCTTCGCATACTGACTTTCCTCCTACAAACAAATAAAAAATAAATAATAATAATTATCAGTCATTAAGGATCATTAAATTTGTTGCAGTGGGGTCACACACACATGCAAGTACAAATTTTGCTGGGAAGTTTAGCTGACACATTGCCACACCTGGGAAAGTACTCCTAGCAAAAAACATAAAATTAGTTTCTGGGAATGGCCTTCCCAAACTACAAGTGGGAGTTTCTGATGATGTTTCCACTCATCGAGGTTGGAATCTTTGGAGAAGATGATTCGTACTGTTCATATCAAGCTGGATATCACCTGGAATAATGGTAAGTATTTATATGTACAAGGAACACAATACAAAAGAAATTTGATATTTTAAAGCATAAAATTCTGGCCTCTGTAATTCATCACAATTTACAGACCAAATTTGTCTGTTTCATTCTCTGTGTTCCTCCAGGAAAACTAATTATGAAAACAACAAGGTAACAGGACACAAGAGTAATGCAAGCACTTAAACCATGAAAAGGTTAAAAAAAGGATCTTGAGACATACCCTGAATAAGCACCTTACAGTAAATTTAAAGTTGACATTTACCCTGAATTCATCCTTGTCCTTCAGAAACTGTATCCGTTCCCGTAACTTCTTTTCAAGCTCCAGCTCAGGTCTCTGGCACTCCTCTATTGCTCTCTGATGGTCCATTACTATAGACAGAAGGGCAGCTAGGTTGTGTTCATGAAATGAATTATGCTCTTCACTTAAAACTCCAACTAGCTGGTCAATCATTCCAGTATCACACATCACATCTATAAAATAGAATGTTTAAATTCAAGTATATAACATGTATGACAAATTCTGAGAAAAAAAGAAACATAAACTTGGAGGCAGTTGGAGTCCCTAAAAAAGTTACCTTTGACACCTGAAAATGAATGGTCACCCACTAGTTACGGACAACATGCTTAAGGAGTTTGAATATGAGTAAAAAAAACTCCCTAATTATATGACCTTGTAATATCAATTTTTAACCTACTAACTGAAAATCAGTAACAAGAAGCCCATGGGCCACATTGTTCACCTGAGCACATTGGCTAGGAAAAAGCAGAAATCAGTTCAGTATTGAGAAATTTTTAAATGTGGTTCCAACATTTGATCTTCTATTGAGGCCTTACCCTACCTCTAGGGACATGACTGGAAAACATTTGAAACTACTCTACCTGAGGATGCTTCTGAATTAATAAGACTGGCATTGTTGTTCTAGAGAAGAAAATTTTTACTGATACATATCCCTTATATTCTTTATTATAACTTTGATCCCCTGTTGTGGCCCCATCCAAAGCCAAGGGGTCATGATTTGAACAAATCTGAAACTACACTACCTGAGGATACTTCAATATCAATATGACTAATCATCACTTTGCTGTTCCTGAGAAAATTTTAAAGTTTTTCCCCTACAAATTCATACGTAAAACTTTGATCCCCCATTGTGGCCTCACCCTACCCCCAGGGGTCATGATTTGAACCAACCTAAATCTACATTACCTGAGGATGCTTCCATATCAATATGACTACAAAAGACTTTGCTGTCCTACATGTATGTAACTTTAATACCCTATTGTGGCCCCAACCAATCCCAAGGGGTCATGATTTGAACAAACCTGAATCTACACTACCTCAGGATGCTTCTGTGATAATACGACTAATCATGGCTTTGCTGTTCTTGAGAAGAAAATTTTTCCTACATTTAAAACCTCAAAGGGTTCATGATTTGAACAAATCTAAATCTACAATACCTGAGGATGCTTCCATATTAATGACTAAACAAGACTTTCCCATTCTTGGGAAGAATTTTAAAGATTTTTTCTTTTATATTCCTATGTAAAACTTTGATCCCCCATTGACTACACAAGACTTTGCTGTTCTTGAGGAGGAGATTTTTTTTATCATTTTTTTCTTATGTAAATCTTATAAAATCCCCTGTTGTGAACTCATCCAATCCCCAAGGGGTCATGATTAGAACAAACCTGAATCTACACTACCTGAGGATGCTTCCACATCAATATGACTAATTATCAAGGCTTTGCTGTTCTTGAGAAGAAAATTTTTCATGATTTTTTCTTATATATTCCAATGTCAAACTTTGATCCCCTGTTGTGGCCCCACCCTACCCCGGGGTCATGATTTGAAAGAACCTAAATCTACACTACCTGAGGATGTTTCCATATCAATATGACTATACAAGACTACTGTTCTTGAGAAGAAGATTTTTCAACATTTTTTTTTTTATATTCCTATGTAAATCTTTGATCCCTTATGGCCCAACCCTACCCCTGGGGATCATGACACATTTTATTTTGAGATCCATTTCAATCATTCTGTGAAGATGCCTGTCTAGCGGATTCAATGGCGAGTGGTTTCTTTGTTGAAGAGGAAGAAAATTTCAAACTATAACAAATTGATTTACATGTATCAAGCATGATTTTTTTATTCAATTGAAACACATTTTATTGATCTGAGGGATTAGGCACATTCTTTAAAATGGTAAAAATGCCCCAATCCCTATTGATGACTGTTCAGTCCCTTACCTTACCTTTTCAAGTATAGTCTATTTGTAAAAAACATTTGGTATACAAAACCATATAGCATGCTCTGTTTAATGAAAAGGGGGAAAAAATGCCTCATTTCATTTTCAAGATTTCATTTAGGAATAGTCTGAGTAAAATTGTCATTTACATCTACCTTTAAAATCTGGCCTCTTAGCACATAATGCCGATAGCATAAATGCTGCTTTAATTCTAAGTTTTTCTACATCTGTCTGCATGGCCCTCATCAGAACAGAGAAACCATCATGCTTTTCAAAAACTTTCTGGGCTTCAACATTGTCTCTTGCAAGGCCTGAAAAATGATTCAAAATCTAAAATTTGAGCTTCAAAAACTCAAATTCTTTAATTAGAAATTGCTTATGTTTTCCTACATCAATTGAAACATTACATTTCCTTGATAAACTTACATGATACGGCATACATAGCTTTGATTTTCACATTTGGATCTTCATCTTTATCCAGGATATCTAGCATTAGAGTTAGCCAATTTTCTTCTAATGCCTTTATCTGACAGAAAGGATGGTTCTGGACCAATATTGCTATTAAATCCAGGGTCCTCCACCTTATTTCTGGTGTCTTGTGTGTTAATAATATTTTTATCACAGGGTATCCACCAATCTTGTAGAAATCTGAACAAAAAGGTTTAAGCATGCAATAAATCTCCATCAATTAAAAAAAAACATAAATGCTATAAGCGTTAACATTTTAAAGTTCAAAAAATAAATATTTAATAAAATATCAAACAGTTATAAAATTTAATAATACAAATCCTCCATTGACTTGTTCTGAATAATTTTGAATTCTTTTCTGAACATTCAATATAAAACTTGTTGACTCAAAATAAGCATCTTTGAAAATTTAAAAATATGTATTCATTGTGGCAAATACAAACCAGAAGCAAAATCTATCGTTTCACACCATTCTGCTGTTTCCTCTAACGCTGCTATAATTTTCTTCTCTGTACTGTCTGGTGAAGTCAGAATTAGCAAGCAAGCCTTCATTCTTTCAACTGGGCTAACTGTCAAGTCAGTAATAGCATTCTCCAACCACTGCCGTCGCTGTAAAAGATATTAAATTCAACACAAACTTCAACACAAACTGAATCTTCTATATATTATACCTTTTTCTTAGATGAAGGATTTTAAAGATCATACATATCAACGCCAATCAACAGCAGTGACAGGATATTATTAACATTCATTCATAACTGAACATCCCTAACATTTGATATATCCGTGTAACATTTTCATAGATCTTTTCATAGCATCTAGTCGAACTAGGACACGAGGTCCTGTGTCACACAGTGTGTGAATTTGCATTAAAGACACCTCTGGTATCCAAAAAATGTTTAGCCGTTAAAATAATGTTGCGACTCATTTACATTACTTCACAACCCGAATAAAATATTGATGAGGAAACTTACATCTTCTGGCATCGGTTGCGCAACATTTTCTTGATCTTTTTTATCTTCACTCTGCACTTCCATGCACATTTGTAGCAGTGCTCGTACATCTTTGGGTGGCCTTTTTTCTTCAGGTGGCTCCCTGCCACCAGAACCTCCGCCTTCCATTCCTTACCACTAAAAATGTTATATTTTTTATACAATTATTACGCATCAAAACATCGAACACACCAGAACCTTCTGAATGCCGCTCTTTGGTTGTTGTGATTTTGTTTACATTTGTGATCTTTTAATCTTGGACAAGTAGCATATATTATAATCTACACTTTATCAATGTAATCCTTGAAAATTATATGACAATTCTTAAAAATCCCTTTCAATCATTTGGAAACTTTTCGTTAAATGCCTAATTACGACATTAACAAGCGAGGGTGTGGGTAAAAGAAGGAGCCTGGCAAAGTTAACGAAAGAGAAGAGTTTTTACTTTTTCATTTTGTTTAGGTAGTATATTTGTGAATTATCCCGTTTTAGATTCTTGTAGGTAATTGCAAATTCAGCAACTTGTTGATATACAATTAAAAATGGATACATGCACATGTGCACCTGGTTTCTTCATCCCTCAGCGTCATCAGTCTCAAGTTACACATGTCCAGTGTCATATTCAAAGTCATGTTGATTGCGTTAAATGATTTTAATACAATGTTTACATATTTCTGACAGTAATCAGAGAATGAAAATTGTCTAAAAACCCTTGCATTTGACAAAAAATAAAAACATAAGTGAATTGGAGTGCGGGACGGTTCGCCCCGAAAGACCATTCGCGCTGAGACGTTTCGCCCCCAGACGGTTCGCGCCTCAGATCAATTATCTTGACATGGAGAGTCTCCAAATGATAATTATAACACCTTAATTACAATACTGAATCAGACAATTATGATTGCTGAATAAACATAATTATATATCTGCACATGGATAATTATACCTTTAATTATGGTATAAGCCTATTTTCAACAATTTAAACAGTCATGAAAGTTTTTTTAGTAACTTTAGAACTTTTTTTTAATAGAGTCAATATTAACCTTATATGTAAATATTTATCTTAAAACATATCGTATTTGTATCGTTATAGATTAAATTCGGCGCGAAACGTCTCGGCGCGAAAGGTCTTCTGGGGCGAATGGTCTCGGCGCGAACCGTCAATAGGGGCGAAACGTCCCGTTACCGTGAATTGGGGGGGGGGGGGATGGCCCTTTCCCTTCTGTTCTTCCTCCCATCTCTTATCTCTTCTCTGCTGTCCTCTTTTCTCATACCTACCCTTCCTCTCTTTTCCCACCCCTCTTCTCCTGCATACCTCTTCACTCTTGGATGTCTCCTCCCTTCCCTCTGCCTTTTCGATCCCATCTCCTTATTTCCTTGCATGTTCACTTGAGAGATGAACAAAATAGAATAAGTTGTAATTAGTCCTTTCACGATAACTGTGGTACTGCTATCTTGCAGGGCAATTCAGTAACATTTGGTTAACTTTTTCTTGACAGGTAATAAAATGATGTTTATAAAACAATTGCTGTTAACGTCATTTTTCGTCAAACTATATCAATTTGCCCTGCAAAAGAGTAGTACTGCAGTTATCGTGAAACAGTCTATAACAGACACAGTCACACTCAAAATAGGACTGGGAAAGCTGCATATATAAGAACACTATAGCTATAGTATAATTTTTTAACCTTTAAAAAAAAGAACAGACAGTACATACATACATAGAATTAGCATTATTTTTTGGATGAACATTTTTTTTTCATATAATTTTTTTTTATTTCCCTTCATATGAACATATGCCTCTTTTAAAATTAGCCTTCAAGTGTTCATTGTTTTAGATGTGATGAAACAGAATAAGACTCGCTTATATTAGCATAAGAAAATATATAATCCACCTCCCTTTATTATGCTCTTTAGCTTGAACCAATTTATCAATGTTAACTACAGACTGATTTTTTTTCTCTCTAGGAATGTGCATACATAGTTACTGTAATATTACAAGTATATCAAATTAATACAACTACATAAGGCAACATTTCCATTTGATGTGAAAAGACTGCTAAATACATGTACAAGTTTGACTATGCTTACCCTTGCAGAAATAAATCCTGGAGGGTCAGGAGAAGTCAAGATATCCTGGGATTTTCCTGAGATATCTTGATATGTCCTGCTCTCCAAAATTTTTGCTCCTGACAATTGTCAAATCCTGAGATATCCTGATATCAGGCACAGGATTTTGTCAGGAAATATCAGGACTTCATGTTAACTCTTCACCAGAACAAGATTATCCCAGGATTTTTCGGGACTTTTACAAGAGATCAAGTCCTGACATAAGGAAATCTCAGGACTCTTGACATTTTCTGAACTAAAACCAACTGAATCAAATAAGTCCTGGGATATCTTGAGCTGAGGACTGTTAAATTTAAGTCCTAGAATATCCTGAAGTCAAGACTCAACATATAATAATATATGAGACATTCACAATATATTATATTTTTTCAATGTGTTGATGATCAGATAATTTTATCTTAATAAAAGCCATCTTAATTAATAAAGGACATTCCTTAGGTGAATACTGAATAGTGCACTTGAGGTACTAGGGGATTATAATCAGCACAACTCCCATGATTAAGTTTGCGAATACACTAGGCCTATTCAATAAAACAAATAGGCCTAAAACTATATCAGTGGTGGATCCAGAAATTTTAAAAAGGGGGGGGGGGCTGACCAGTTTGGAGTTGGGGTAGGGGCCCACAGCCACACCAAAAAAAATTATTTATTAAATCTTATGTATATTTTGGACACAAAAGGGGGACCCGGGTGCCCTGGCCCCCTTTCTAAATCCGCCAGTGTATATTATGGTTTACCCCTCAATAATAACATCTGAGGACTTGTTACCATTGAAATTGCTGTTTTGTTGAACCTATTTTGAATGTGGGAAAAAAATCAAAGCCTTAGCTCTGTAAATAATAACGTTTATGTATAGATACAGTGATATAAACAGACAAATAGACGTTTTTCTGCATATAATATAAACATTGGCACCATAATGTAAAATAATTATTTATTACAACAAAATAATTAAAAACTTCAAGTTCAGAAGTTTTTTTTACCGTAAATTAATTTTTACAATACTGTTACAGTAATATAAGTACAACATTTAGGCTATAGCTGCACTCTTCTACTAAAAACGAAAAGAACCTAAATCCCATATGGAATCAAAACGCGTACAAGTTACCAAACATTATCTGGTCAACTGAGCGCTTATCTTAAAGTGTGCACGGTGTGGGAAATCAAGCGGTTTAATGACAAAGAGTGACCCACTTCAATAATCCGCGTTTTTCAAATTGGATGAGGTCAAGATGTCCGCGGAGAGAATTTATTTGGATTTGCTTGAGATACTGTATTTGAATAGACACCGAACTACAGAAAATGAAGTGTGCCACTGAAGAATGCCAAGCTGAAGTAATGAAAAAGTGAAGACAACGGACAGTGAGGAAATAATGCACCCCTGGAGAAAAAACCTGGAATGTTTATACCCACAAAAGGGACAATGATGTGCACATATTCAGGGAATGAAGATGGGAATATTCATAGTTCATGACGTTGGTTGTAAGTTCAAACTTATTTAAACTTTAATATAATAGGTATCATGGTTCAAATATGATCATATAGAATATTTCACAATAAAATTGTATTCTTTTAAATTTCGAGTTAATTGCCAATTGAACACTTTCAGAAGTTTGGTGTTTATAAAACAAATGTGCTAAATAAGCAGGGTGTGATGATATGCATTATTAAGTGCATGCATGGGCACTGGAAGTTAATGTAATTTTTTTTTACATGCACATACTCTATATTTACATTAACTTCCAGTGCCCGTTAGCAGGTCCAGTACAATCAATACATTAAGCTATGTAGCTAAAATTACCTACCGTAGCTTTATTTACCTACCTCGGGTAGCTTTATTTAGCTATTTCAAGCAACTTTTCACAATTTTGCTTTTTATTTTAAAAATACAAAAAATCGCAAGTAAATGTCTACTTATATTTATTTTAGTTATTGTTTAAAAACCAATCTAAAGCAGAGATAGTTTTAACATTGCTGCGTTTGAACACTTTTAAGGAAAAGATGTATTTCCATTGTTTGAGTAACTATACACCACCTTGTGTGTGATGAGGCGTGGATAAGTATGATTACTTCACATTGTGCTCATGTTAACCAGAACTGGTTTTCTTTGTTATTTCAATCGAGAAGTAATGGTTAGGTCACAAATTAAAGCCCCGAAACTTTTAGAACTTTGATTGCAATTGTGCAGAAAAAGACACATTTCCAAGAGTGAATTTTTCACAAATTGTTTTCAGATGAGTTAAAAGTTGAAAATTATCACTGCATCAAAGTGCAATTTTCTGCACTTTCTGGAAAAATGCTAGTTTATGAAATAAGTTTGATTTAGTAGCTAAATAAAGCTACTTCAGGTAGGTAAATAAAGCTATGTAGGTAATTCAAGCTATGTAGCTAAATCTAGTGATTGTACCAGACCTGGTTAGTGCATGCATAATTTGTAATAATATTGTATTTGGACTCAGGAGCAATAGATAATATTGTAGGTAAACTCTATGATCTATCTTTCCCCCACAGAAACAAATAGCAAAAGCAGTAACATTTTGGAAGATGCGATGATGAAGACCTCTTGCCCATGGAATAAACTTGGTATATTTTTATTGATATTTTTTAATGAGTCAAATTTAAAAGATATTTTTAAGAAACTCAAAAAAATGCTGATAGAACCTATTAACAATTTCATTCTCATTCATTTTAAAAGAAGAAGCTGACTAGTCTTTTGTTTAAAAAGAAGAAATATGTCAACTACCTGTCATTTATATTTTTCAGTAAAGAGAAGCTGATGACTTCTAGTTTATTGGTGTTTTCACCAAAAAAAGGGGCCTTGTCGAGGAAAAGAGAACATTAAATGAAGGTAAAGTTATGTTTTAACACAAGTAGATATTGTAAGTGTAAAAAGCAAAAAAATACATAAAGTTGTATGTTTTTTTGTTGTTGTTTTTTTTTCATTTCGACATGAACATTAATGTGATTGTTTTAGAATAATAAAGCATCTTTACTTTTACAGGTCTAATAACAGAATGCATCCCTGGGGTCAATGTTACCACCATTCATTACATCATGAAAGACTTTTAAAGTTTCAAAGAAAAAAAATTTGATTAAAGAATAATTTGCCTAAATAATAACTCTTTGTCTTTTTAGACTAAAAGAGGGACATTGTCGATATTTAAAATGCATTTTGAGAACTTGAATCTGTTTTTGAAAGATCTGTTTTTGAAAGAAGTGACAAAATTCCAGAGTTCAGGATAGTAAGGGGGTTGTTGATCTCAGGAATATCTCAAGATATCTCAGGATTTTTACACTTCAAAGTCAAATTCCTGAGGCCAGGATGATGACAGGATTGTGATCCCAGGAAATCTCAAGACATCTCAGGATTTTTGTACTACCATGAAACAAGTGAAATATTCCTGAGGTCAGGATAATTGTGGTCCCAGGAATTCTCAAGATATCTCAGGATATTTTGCTTTACCAGGATGTCCTGTGAAATCCTGAGAAATCCTTGTTCCAATACCATCCTGACAATTCCTGAGGTTAGGAACCAGGATAATCCTGAGACTTCCTGGGATTTTTAACCAAGATATCTTGAGAAAATCTCAGGAAATCTTGGGATATCCTGGTCTATTTTCACAAGGGTGTATATCTTCTTTATCATTTAGGTTTATGTTGACCAAATTTGTCTTGTGGAGTGTTATATTTTGAATCTCCCTTAAAAAACAAGACTATACAATTACATGTAGTTAAATTTTATTTCAGATTGAGATGCTGTAAGTCATGCCAGTAGACATGGAGCATATCCAAAAAGCCATACGAGAGGACCTGCAGAAGAACAGACAATATGTAAAAACCATGGAGGATTTTTCACAGGTGAAAACCAATGAGAAGCGAGTGCATTTTGTTCTGTCCTTACCAGCTGTTCAGAAACATATACGTCTCGAAGAATATGATAATAGCAAAAATTCAGAAGAGGCTTGTCAACTCAGGACTCAAGGAAACCAATTCTTTCAGAAGAAAAATTATGTCAAGTCTTTAAAATTGTATACAGCAAGTGTATTGAAGGCCCCAGTGACAAATATGAATTGTTTTGACCAATCAAATTCTAATACAGAAAGCAATGACCTAGAACTAGCCAATGCTTTTGCAAACAGATCAGCAGTCTTGTTCCATCTTGACAACTACGATGCTTGTTTGCAAAATGCAGAACTTGCTTTCCGTTGTGGATACCCCAAAGTAAATCATTACAAGCTTCATGAGCGACAAGGAAAGTGTCATCGAAAATTGAACAACTTTACCAAGGCAAAGCAGTCATTTGAATCAGCTGTAAGGTCATTAGAGTTTTCCACTCTTGATGAGAAGAAGAGGGAGCATTTTACTCAGAACTTGCAAAGTTTGATTAAAGAGGTGAAAAGTGTAGACTATGATGTGGATTTGGAGAAAGAGCTAGAAGATGGCAGTAGGAAATCAATCCATTGTCATTTGGATGTGCCTCAAATTGATAAAAGGGCAAGAAATCCTGTGTTCATGTCAGCTAGTTCTAAAGTTGCCTTACGAGAAAGTGCTGAAATGGGACGAGGGCTGATGGCATCCACTGATATTAAAGTTGGAGAAATTATAGCAGTGGAGAAACCTTTCGCATCTGTAAATCTCTCGGAGAGAGAACAAGAATACTGTAGTCACTGCAGTACAAGAGTCGAGTGCCCCGTGCCTTGTCAACAGTGCTGTGATGTTGCTTTTTGTTCTCTTCAATGTCAGGAGGAAGCATGGTCAGACTATCACAGAATAGAATGTAAAATTATAAGACATGTTCAGAGTATGAAATCGAAGCTTGGACATCTAGCACTTCGAATGGTGATGAAAGCAGGGTTTTCATATCTGATGCAAGAACGAAGTAACTTTTGCAGTGGTGATGTGTCAGAGGTCTTAGGGTACAATAAAGATGGCTGTTATGACTCTGAGGATTATTATGCTTTGTACACTCTGGTGAACCATGGGGACAAAAGGACACCTGAGGACTTATTCAACAAAGCAGTTCAGACAGTGTATTTATTGAAGTGTCTTGAGTTAACTCCCTTCTTTAAGAATTGCCCTTCAGAGCAGGAGGAAGATGCAAGGTGTTATGTAGGAGGACACATTTTGAGACAGATACAGATGTTGCCCTGTAATGCCCATGAAATTTCAGAAATTCACTGGAAGCCAGGGGACCCCACTGTTACAAATACAGTGGAGGTAGGATCTGGAGCCTATGCTCTTCTCAGCCTCATCAACCATTCGTGTGATCCTTCAGTGGTTAGACACAATTATGGCAATGTCTGTGTTGTCAGAGCAATAAAGCCCATTCAAAAAGGGGAGGAAATCCTTGATAATTATGGAGCAATTTATCCCTTGACCACCAGGGCTGAACGACGGTCAAAACTAAGACCACAGTATTACTTTGATTGCAATTGTGATGCTTGTCAATTGGATCTTCCTCTATACTTTGATATTCCTGATGACACCCCTGTGTTCAAATGTGAAGAGTGCTCTGGGCCAGTTTTCATTTTGCCTAACAAACATCTCTCAGACTCTGAGTGTTCAAGCTGCCACAGAAAGCAAGACTTGACTCAAACTGTGAAGGAATTACAGGAATCAACCAACCAATATCACGTTGCATTGGAGCAGGTGCTTGCAGGAATTGACATGACAGTTGCATTAACGATGTTATTGAATCACCTTGAATTCCTGACGACTCACATTTCTCTGCCATGGAGAGACATCAATAATTGTCAAGAAGCAATAAAGCAATGCTTTGCCACACAAGCTAATTCTTATATCCTACCTTGAGTGAACATTTGCATGACAATATTTTATGATGAATGTTAAAGTGGACATTTTCTCAATACTCTGTCTGGATGTTCTACGTTTAGGCATTGATTTTTTCCTCTCATATGCATTGTTAACATCCCATGTCAGATAATGTTTATCACTTTCTCAGACTAATAAAAGTCTCTTTGTCATAAAAAGTTATGAGCAACTGTTGCTTCTAGTACACTGCAAAATATGTTAAAGTGAAATGATCAGGTTACTGTGTATGACTTGAATTTTTTTAGAAGGAATGTTTATTCATTTTGGTGCTTTAATGAATTAAATATTGATTAAAATTAATTACTTTGTTCATTTAATATCATTGGATTCTTAATAAAAAAAAATCCAAAGGAATTTCCTAATTCGCACTATCTACTTCCAATCAATTACTTGATATAAAAGTTGGAAAGATTAAACTTGTTAAAAAAAAGATGTGCTTTAAATGGAAATTAAGACAAAAGTTACATATTGTACATTATATGAAGCAGGAAACTCCGAAAGTGAAAAATGACCTATTTAGGATAGAGGATACCTGATTGTTATTGGATTCCAATTATTTACACAATTTAGATCTCAGCAATTTTCATCAGTGAAATGTACAATTTATCAGAATGAAAGCCATTAACAGCACTATTAGCAAATTGAGGTCAATGTACTATAGATTCGGAGGAAATTTACCAGCAAGATGGCTGGGTCGTGTCCATGTAATTTGATTCAGAAACCAACTTATTGCTTTGGACATAAAACCACTGGTACTTAAAGCATTGAGTTTATTAATTTAATGAATAGAATTTAAGGCGAAATGACCAATATGTTCTTAGAACTTTTAAATGGTAGAGCTAATGTAAATGAATGGGGATAAAAGTATAGCAATTGACACCCGAATACTTACTATAATGTGTCCATTATGAGGCCATTTTTAGCTCTACTGGTCAGAGACCAGAAGAGCTTATGCGATAGTAAGGTGTCCGTCGTCTGTCCGTCTGTAGACAATTTTTCAAAACACTGCTCCTCCTACAGTTTTGGTCTGATTTCAATGTAACTTGGCACATAATTAGACTACACTAAGATCATGACATAATTCTGTGTATCGGTTTTTGATTTCAATGAACGGTGTTGCCATGGTTACTAAAAATAGAAATTTCTGTGAAAAACTTTCAAAACGCTACTCCTCGTACAGTTTTATATAACTTGGCACACAAGAAGACTATAATAAGATACATGATTTTGTGTATCGGTTTTTGATTTCAATAAATGGTGTTGCCTTGGTTACTAAAAATAGAAATTCTGTGAAATACTTTTAAAACACTACTTGTCCTACAGTTTTGGTCTGATTTCAGTATAGCTTGGCATACAAGTAGATTACACTAAGATACATAATTCTATGCATTGGTTTTTTTCATTTCAATGAACGGTGTTGCCATGGTTACTAAAAATAGAGATTTCTTGGAAATACTTTCAAAACACTTCTCCTCCTACAGTTTTGATCTGATTTCAGTATAACTTGGCAAACAAGTAGACTACACTGAGATACATAATTCTTTTCATCGGTTTTGGATTTCGATGAACAGTGTTGCCATGGTTACTAAAAATAGAAATTTTCTTGAAATACTTTCAAAATGCTACTCCTCCTGCACTTTTTGTCTGATTTCAGTATAACTTGGCATACAAGTAGACTACACTGAGATACATAATTGTCTTATTGTTTTGATTATGTTGAATGATGTTGCCATGGTTACTTAAATAGAAATTTCTGTAAAATTGTTTTAAAAGGCTACTCCTCCTACAGTTTTAGTCTGATTGCAATAAGTCTTGCCACAAAAAAGAGACTAAACCAAAGATCATTATTCTATTTATTGCTGTTGCAAAGTTTCAAGTCCAAGTGCTACTTTTATCTTCCTTTATAAGTATAACCAGTAGAGCTACAGTCTCATCAATGACTTCTGGTTCCAGTTTGTGTCCCATTTATCTAGATGAAAATGTCTGCATAATGATCTTTCTCTTGTGGAGACTTATCACATTAAGTTTGGTTGATTATTCCCTTGCATATTCAGAGCTATTTTTGGACGAGTCTTGAGCATCAATATGTTTAACTCGTATAACTGCTCCATATTTAGTTATATATACATGTTGAAGAATTATTAAATTTTTAATCATTTCACTTTGGGATTTAAATGATATCTTGAGCTAAAACAAAAGGAAGATTGAGATTGAATATAAATATATTTTGTGTAATATGTTAAATGCATTGTATTTACTTATTGGGGGTGTAACATCTATTTAGAAATAATACCAGTAACTCAAGGAACAGGTTACATATTTGTGCAAACTACACACCATCTCTATTATGTAAATATATATATATATATATATATATATATATATATATATATATATATATATATATATATATATATATATATATATATATATATATATATACCAAAAATGTGGAGGGTTGGATTTTTCTATTGTCTTGGCCAAAGTAATTTTAACTTGTTTTTATTTAGAACATTTTGAACCAAATTTGGGTAGCAATGTCCTGTCTATTGATTAAAATCAAGTCAGATATCATCAGAGGGTAACCTATTCTGATCTCCATCACACACAAGTAAATCAGAATGATATTTTGAAATCAATACCAAGGTTCAGCTTGTCCTTGATTTATAACCTTGGAGGTGATAAATAAGAGACCCATGAGCCTTAAGGGTCACCAGAATATCATGAGTTTCTCTATAGTCAATGATTTGACCCACTGATCAGTCCATCATGGGATTTGGGACTCATGTGACAAGAATTTTACTATTTGGTGAGGCAATGTACCTGAATATCTAATAATTTGATATCCAGCTTTTAAAGGTGCTTGGACACAGATTTGAAGTTAATATTTTCTCAAATTTTCTGTATAATTTCATGACTTATATGTTGCTATAACATTTCATACTAAAATATAATAAAAATCTTATTTCATCTCGTAGTTATTGAAACTTCAAATTTCTGAACGCGTTTGATTGACACATCCTTGCACTTTCACAAATTTTAATTTTATTCTTAATACTTAAGAAAAGTGGCAATTTTGTTGTGTATTAATGAAAAATATAAAAACTTTAATCCAGAAAATTCAGAGTAGAAATATTCGAAAGCAAAACCCACTCACAGTATTGTCAGTCCGTGTTCAGTGGTGTGTGCAGACTTTAACAATTGAACACACCCGGTGAATCGTAAACATTAACAATAACAGAGCTCGTGCCCTGTTTACAAAAACAGTTTACGTTTCACGGGTGTATTCAATTTGTTAAACTCTGTACATAACACTGAGCACAAGCTGACGATATTAGTGAGGGGGTTTGCTTTCGCACATTTCTACTCTGAATTTTCTGGATTATAGATGTAATGTTTTTCATTAATACACAACAAAATCGCTTCTTTCCTTAAATATCAAGGATAGAGATAAAATTTGTGAAAGTGCAAGGATGTGTTAATCAAACGCGTCCAGGAATTCGCAGTTCCAATAATTTCCAGATAAATTAAGTTTTTAATTATAGTTTCGTGTGAAATGCTATTGCAATATACAAGTCGTCATATCATACAGAAAATTTGAGAAAATATTAACTTCAAATCTGTGTCTAAGCACCTTTAAAATTTCACCAAGTGAAAAACTATACCCTATGGCCAGAATCCTGAACCCTGGGGTCACAAATTTGCTTAAAAATTGTAATTACATCATTATATTAAATTTTGCAATTGAAAATTTTGTTCCTCAAAGTCTAGGAGTAAAGTTCAAAAATTTTTAATATAAAATGCATTTCTTTTCCCAATCCTGAAGCTTTAACCCTGAACTCAGGGGTAATGAATAACTGCAGTTTTAGTCAAATGTATCAACAATTTGAGACTTTTTGATGTCCAAGGAGAAAAGAAGATTTTTGAAGAAAAAATAAGCTTTGTTCACACCTCTCAGACCATGAAATTTTACAATTTTCTTCAAAGAATCTTTTTACAAAAATTGTTTCAGTTGATACAGAGAAGGTGCTGGAAATGTTCAAAAGTCCACAACCAATATCATAGACAAAGCATAACCAAGGACAAACACACAGCAATAGGTTATCCAAACGACTCAAGTGACCCTTTGTTTACATCTGTTGAGAATGACCGATTCTGATTATCTTCTTACTTCTGAAGTTTCCATCCTCACAATGTCAGGAGTCCTGTGTCAACTCATTATGATTATCTCTTCCAGCTTCACAGTTAAATCAATTAGGATGAGATTTTTTAAATGCAACTTGGTTACAACCTTTAACCTTGTAATTGGCAGATCAATACTTTATTTTGGATTTGACCTTTTCAAAACATCACATTTCATATACAATCAGGATAATATGCCATCAAAACCTTGAACTTTGTAATGAAACAAACTGATATCAGCTTTTGCAGATGTCCCTATATGATTAATTCATCATACTTCAAATTTCCAACACAAAAGTCACACACTACTTTGCTCCAAAGTACAGTTCCTGTCAACCTTATCATAAGTTACTTTATTACCATACCATCTCTGGTTGAAGAAGCACATCTGAACACTTAAAAAATCAACTTCTTCTTCAACACTATACTCTCCTGGTCGTCCCAAGGCCTGGTTTATTTAGATTATAAAACCATTAAAACTGTTCAGCCAGTTCTTCAATTTTATTACAAATAATACTTTTTTTTCTGATTTTAATATTAATGCACTCCTTTGCACCAGCAGCTAGCCTATTACACTTATTTGACAATTAATTGATAAATAAATCTATATCAAGTCTCACAATTCTCAAAATTTACAGGTATTTATAGAAATGGTATATACAAAATAACACTTTTAACTAAAGATCAATACAATGAATTTTTTTAAATAAATTTGCAGAAAAGGAACAAATAAAACATTCATAAAACTTTCATTAAAACAAAAAATTATTGTCTAATACCATACAAGTTGAATTTTTACCAAGACGCAAATTTAGCTATTTATCAGCAAAAATTGGTATATATTTATAGGGAGAAATAATTTTAGCGATTTTATAATGTCAAGGAAGATAGCTATAACAACCTATAGATAAGGAATAAATTGTTAGTGATATTCAATTTTAGAGATCTCAAATAATAATAATGCCAAAATTGAATCCTAGCTAAGAATATTCTGCTTATACGGTATAACAATGAACAAAATTCTTCATATATTTTTATTTGCATATCAACTGGTATATTATGAAAAAAAAAGAATGAAGTGTATCATTTTTTTGATTACCAAAAAAAAAAAAAAAAAAAAAATCCCCTCTTTAATAAACAGAATAACAAGACCAAGACCAAGTTAAGAATCACTTATACCTTTAAAGTACGCTCTCCTCGCTTTAACTGTATGATCTTTAACTTTTTACAAAAGTTACAGGTCAGAAACAAAATAAAAATGTGTGTCAGAAAAGATTTGCATAAATATTGCAATTTTTCTCTCACATTATGCTTTCTGGTAAATTAAAAGCACTGTTTAGGATCTGCTCCTGTGAAAGATTATACACATATTTCTATTGATAAAGTTGAGTAATTTTAATATTTTAGAGGGGAACGTTGTAGACTACTCCCCTATTTCAAATCACTGCTGGCTTTAATAAAGCCAAGAAACTTTACAAAATAGCACTTTAGAAAAGGACCTTGAATATGGTTGAACCATATGGAGGTGATGTATGTCCCATCTTCCAGTTTTTGAAGTTTTAAGGCTATACATAAAAAGCAACTTTACATCAATAAATAATGTTGAGCTTTTAAGAATATAAAAGGGGTGAGGTATCTTTTATCATGCCCAACTAGTGAAGTAGAAATATAAACAAAGCACTATAAAATATGGGAGAAATAAGACTCACAAATAGACTATGTGTCCCATATATTGAAGAAGAGACACATTTGAGGTCACTCTGTTTAAAAATTAAAACCCCATTGTAAATAATTTTCAGCAATATTTGTAAATTAGTCACTGAATCAAACTCTACTGTCTAAATGTTCAAAATTAATATTAATGGAGATACATGTAATAAAGCACTTAGTCTAATAACTATAATTTGAAAAGAAAAAAAGAAGCAAAATAACAAAAATATATCCATGTCTATGGCTTCTTTAAGAATTACAGGTATATTTGCAAAGCTTTTGAAACACACAACCTGTATATTAAAACAAAGCAACTGTGTCAAACTTATACTCTTAAAACTAAACTAAATCTGTATTAAGCTTAGGTGTAATGTTCAGGCAGAACTGTAGTAGGTATATATATACAATAGTCTTTATAGTATGCTAATAAAATTATGCATTTATTTAAGCAAACACATATACTTTTTCCCCAATCCTAGTAGATTATATACACCACTTTCCAGTCACAAATTTTCAACAAACCAATGATACACATTAAATGGACATAATTACAGTTGTAATCTTTTCATATAGCATGCTGTTTACAAAGCTATTTTAAATTTTCACCGCATATGTGAATCAAAAATGGGGGGAAAAAATTGTACGTAAAATCTTAGTACATGTACATTGATTGATTGATTGTTTTGGGCTTGCACTAAGATGGCAATATTTCAGCCATTAATTTTTTTCTGTGGTAAAATCTTAGTTTTTTAAAAAAGAGTAGTCATATTTCTGTAGTATTAGAGTGCATTTTGTGCAGGTCATTATAAATTTAATCTTTGATGTGCTTTGGCTAATGATTTTGTCTTGTGTTATAGAGATATATCTATACTCTTCCATGATGTCACGGTTCAAGACAATCAATTTACGAGACTGACTTTCAAAATATTAATAAAATACCTTGGTGTGCATTCAAGTTTTCATATATTAAGGCTGATGTGTCTCAGTCAATTGGTACATGTAGATGTATGATTAACAGTACTGTAAAGTCCAAAATAATCAATTAATATTAAATAACACTGCAGCATCTCAACCTCCTCCCCCTTTCTTATGTCTAACCCCATGTTACAATTATAAATCGTTACATTGTACTATATTCCACACATATACCCAACACTGCATTTGTGTAGAAGTTTACACAAAAACTAGCCATAAATAAATGATATCCTGAAGTAGAAATCACATTTGCATAATGTTTGACTGATCCTTAAATGAACTACAAAAACAAAACGAAAAAATAAAAAAAACAAACAAACAGAAAACTGCTCAACTAATGGAATCAAATAAAAGATGCAGAACAAATTAAGGGACTACAGATATGTATCACAACATGGGACAATATTTGCACTTTAAGTATTAAATACATTTAACTATGGCCACTAAGACATGTTTTCGGTGCTATATATACTCAATTTCATCCATACCTAATGAGATTCTCCAGACAAAAATACAGTTCTCAATACATTTCCACCCAGGAATGAAATATTATGGTGATGTACTAATTACAGTACAGTATTCTGATCTTATTATTTAAAATTTATTACACTAGATGAATCTTTTCAGAGCCAACATCACGTTAATATTACAAATGTGACAAAAATTGTAATAATTCATAATTTGTTACATGATTACACGATAATCAATTGAAATGGTCCTTGCTGCTGAGAAAAGTTAAGATGTCTCCCTTTCCTGAAAAACTGTCCAAAAACAACTGTTGGCAGAAATCTAGTGTACAGATGTCTAGAATTATCATTGTTGGCACAGTGATGCATGAATATGAAGTAAAATCCTTTACTATGGCAAGCAAAAAATATGAAAGCATATAATGGAAAAAATGATGGAAAAATGTTTTGCAAAATTTTCAGGTCTTTAAAATGCTGCTTGGGTACAAAACATGTGTTAACTAATTTGTACAAGGAAATGCACACGTTTCACAAGAAATCGTTGTCCATGTAGAATGACCTCTGTTATTGTACACTTTATCAAACCTTGCAATTCGAAAGGGGGAAATTTGCAAAAAAGCAGATTCTAATGGAAAATTATCAACCACTTGACTAAATATTAAGTACAACTGAGTTATGAAAAATAGGATCCATGGCATTAATTTTAAATTAACTAGATCCCTTTATATTGTTTTCTTCCATAGGCTGGATGACTTCACTATTGGTGGTTTCTTCCTTCGTCCCATTTTCTTCTGTGTCTTCTTCATCATCTTCTTCTTCCTCTTCTTCCATCAATTGTTTGGCGAGTTTAACAGCTTGAAATTCATTGTAGTGCAGTTTCCTTTTCTGCTCAAATTGTTTTCTTTTAGCTACAATTATAATAATTAAAGAATGTACACAAGTTTTTTTTTTTTTTGTGAATCAATAAAAAGGGACAGATTTATTTTTGCTTTTGAAAGGAATAATTGGTTTTCAATAATAGCTTTTACAGTTTTTATACATGAAAGATATCTGCTGCACATTGAAATAGACGAATTTCACATTTACGAAAGTTATTTCCCTTTGTGGGGTCAATCTGGGGTCAACTGGCTCAAGACATTGTTTTCCCTTTATAACATTATCAACTTTTGGGGGCAATACCTCGCAAAGTAAATCCGTTTGAATATGTTCATTATGTTTTTCATGTTGCCCCATACTAAGGCAATTCAGGAATGGGTCAAAATTGTCCGATTCCATTTTTTAACAGGTAAGTTACAAAGGATATAGTGACAAAAATGAGTGTTACGCCGACAACGGGAGATAGCTCTTAAGAATGTGAAATTTGTCTATTCTGAACAATCATGAGGTTTAAACTGCAGCATTTATGATTTATTACACATCATATTACCTACAAAGGAAAGTAAATTCTTATATTTTTTTCCCCCCTTAAAATATCAAGATATTCTTTTACACATTGTTCTATGACAAATGTACACTTATTACAGGGCAGGGTTGTCCTTAAGAATTAAAATAGCAGGGGACATTAAAAGAGTAGAAGGGGATCTCTGCTAACAGGGGACTGAGAGGAGGAATACCAAAGTAACCGTGAGGATTATGTCATTATAGGCGGGGAAATTTCCCGACCCCCGGTCTTAGGGACAACCCTGCAGGGGATCTATAAAGAATACCAATCACAGCTAATATGGGTCTCATCAGAAAAGAATCTACTGTTCATGCTTAATTTAACTCCTCACCCCTTTCCTCCTCAGTTTCATTCTCATCCTCAGAGGAAGAATCCTCCTCACTGAAAGATGTTGATCTAGGTCTATGTGTCTCAGCAAGTCTACAATAATGTAATGTAAGCCTTACAAGTTTTTATAATACCATTTACACAAAGCAGGTACAGTTTATATCAATGTTATGTATGCTTATCACTTATCACGTATCACTTAGTTATACACACTCACAATCCAAGTACCAGTATCTACAAGGAAACCTAATTGAAAAACAAATTGCATATGTTAACTAACTTAACTTGTATATACATGTACTTAATTGACACCTTGAGAAGATGCAATATGCAAAATGAAAACTAATTATAATAATAGTAAAATATCCATAATAATCAATAGCAACAACCTAACTCCTAACCCTCTCCACCCCCATCCACCCCTCTCCAACCCCCCTCCCACCCCAAAAAACTAAACACATAGATACACAATGGGATAAAAAGCGAATATGTGTTTAATCATATCAAAGAACCTCATTCACAAAGAATATTGGTTACAGTGCTGTTTTAATTGCCTTATTTGAAACAGATTATTGTTACCTGTTAGCAATGTCTTCCGGGAGGAGGTCTCCCATCGTCCCAGAACCACTCTTACTGGCTTTCTCTTCATCATCATCATCGTCTTCCACATCTGAATATTTGCTGTAGGGAGTTGGAGGCTCATCAATTTTCATGTGACCATAGTCTTTGTCAGGGGGATGGTGTGTGGCTAATATATTCATTTCATCCCACTTCATCTCTTTGTCTTTTTGCCTAAGAAGTACAATATTTGTATTAAAAAGAAAATCAAATTTGATGAACAAAAATTTTCAAACATTGCCATTTGTCAGACTCACTTATTGTGTAGTGGGAGTGGGATATCATAAAAATTCACATCATATATTTTTTTTCTCAATTAAATTTTTTTTCAATATTGGGATACTAACAATCTTCCTTACTTATGCCTAAATTTTGTTTTCTTGACAAAAAAAAAAAAAACAACAACAAACAAACAAACAAAAAAACAAAACAAAACAAATAAACAAAAACAAACAAACAAACAAACAAACAAAACATGATTTATATTCACTTTCCTCATTTCAAATTTGTTGATTTTTTTTTTTTTTTTTTTTTTTTGCGATCTATAGAACAATGGATTTACATTTGAATCATCCACAAATGATTAATTATTACATAGCCAACGTAGAGAATGTTTTTAAAAAATGCTGATATAATGGAAAATGATGGCTAAAAAGTAAATCTGCCAGAGTTTATGCTATCTGGTTGTGTGACTTCATACAAACAAATGAACAAATACCAAATGGACAACAGCAGTTATGTCAACTCTGTGATAGAGATAGACAGTTACTGCATGAGTAACAAGAGTCAGTGTATAACTACTACAAGTATTACAGATTTTTCCTCTGTATTCTGTAAACAGGGCTGATACCTTCAGAAATCAGACTTTTACTGTGAAGTAATGACCACAATGATAACATAAAAAAAAATTTAAAAATTTTGAGAATTATTTTATAATGAAAGCTTAAATGATAAGTATTCAAGTGTCACTCACCATATTTTAAATTTTCCTGTATTTTAATCATGTTAATAGATTTAAAAAAAAATGGAACAGTATTCCATATACAGTTTTCCAACTTTATCTGGAAAATGTCAATATTTCTTTTTTTATTTTTTAAATAGGAAAGTGGGTGGCCAGGGTGGGGGAGAAGTTGGCAGCTAAATTCTAATTTGAACTTAGGTTTAAAAGTATCCCTGTTCTTTCCAAATGGAAGTTTTAACTTTATGTCCAGAACTTAACATTTTTTTCAAAGGAGTGTGCAGTAAGGAGGTGAAAAGACTGTTAGGTATGTTAAGAATTTGGGATACATCCAGAAAACAGCTTTAATATATTCAATGATCATCATCATGCTTTACAAAATGTTATTTATGCAATAAACGGATGCATTATTTATGCAAACACATTAAAAATTCACATTAAGCATATATATCCTAATTTGAGTATTTCACTTATTCAACGTGTTCATAAAATCCTTAATTTGTTGATTGCTTGCATGTACTAATTGAACTATATTTCTCTCAATACAGGATCTAAAACTTATAAACCAAGATTCGTCAGTTTTGCATACATAAAATTATAGTGAATCTTACATGAATATGTACAGCATAAGTTAAGTTTTCCTTCCTATAAAAATTTTAACCATGGTTAACACAGGGCTATCATTTTTAAACAGAGCAAAGCTTACAAAGCCCAAATTAAGATTAACTACAGGATAGATGCTATTCTAGTTTGGTTGTCCAATGTTTCTCCAATATTCAAGTCCATACTCTAATTTACAATCACACAGTCACAGTACCAGTCTGAGTCATTACTCAACTGAAAGTGAGCAACTTAACTGTCAACTCTCTCTCGACAAATCTTACAACATAATTTTGACAACGAAGATAGATACTAAATATATATATCACATAACATTTATTTTGTATTAATCATAAGTGTAAAAAGGGAAAAACAAAACAAGCATACTCCTTCATTGCCTTGTGTTTTTCATGGTCAAAGCTCGAGGAAGACTTTAAAATTCCTTTCACGGGTTTCTTCGTGTCGGTCATATCAGTCGCCATTCTACCCTTTCCACTTATTCCATGTGTTATAAACGTCAATGGATAAATCCCAATGTACACCTCTAAGCTTTCTGCAGAAATTCAGGGAGTCACGAAGCAATATATGCAGATGATTTATTTATACTGAAGATTTCCACCAATCAAATTTTCAGTGTCAATCGATCTTTCGTGATGGAACAAGTTAACTTGTTCTGCAACCATGTAAATAATCTATCTTTCGCCATATCACTGTGAAACAAAAGCATTATATAATATGTTGACCAAATTATGCATCTAAGAGAGTGTATTTAATGCTAAACATCTATATTTTATCTGACTTTTTTCGGATGTAAAAAAAAAAATCGAATCATTTTTGACACGAAATGTCTTGGTTTGACATCCATCTTGAAAAAATGAAAGCGAAAGAAGAATTTTATGTGGTGAAATTTCAATGAATTACAATTAATGACAGGTCCAGGTACCAAAAATTACATTTTTCAACAGAATACCAAGGAGCAACAGATAAATGTAATGTAAGTGAAAATGGCAGATTTTCTTCTGCGTTTCTTTGACTTTATCATAAATTACATACAATATTTTCACTACAGACTTTCTAGAATATTTGCCGCTTGGGTTTCTTTGCTCAGTAGAAGTTTATGTTAAATAACAAACGACGAACACTGTATGTTTCATGGGACTAAAATTTCTTTAAAGTAAAAAATATAAATAAAAAGCTGTGAAGCATTAATCAAATTACAGTCCCAATTGCAAATTAAAAAGGTAGAATCTATACATAGCCATTTTTTATTATATTGTCCATGCCATCGTCTATCAAGAATCGATTTCAATGAGGTGTCACCTTTTTAATAGCATGTCTATAAATAGCCAACTTTTTTATGGTTGATGGACTGTGTCAGAGTGAATATGTTTATGTGCTGTGTACAGTCAGTGGTGAGACTGAAATTTTAAAATGACGATTTCTAGTCATAAAATAAAATTTTTATTATGACTAAAACTCATCATTTTTAAGAAAATGACAAAAACAGTCATAAAAATATAGAGTGTTTCTAGAATACTGAGTTACCTCTCTTTAAAAAATGATAGATCCACCAACCAAAAAAAAAAAAGGACAAAAAACATCGTAAACAAACTTCATTTCTCAAATACAGTTGACTACAATACTGGTTATGTTGACATTACAAATTTCCAAAGCAAAACTAAGAGTGGAAGAGTTAGTTGTCAATTTATTTGCATAAAATAGCAAAGAAGACGAAAATGATGATATTTCGTCTTTTTACCAAAATGGAGGGTCTGAGCGCACTGAAATATTTCGCTTGTTTTACGGGGTGCACTACTTTTTTATTGTTTTAACTTTTTGTCCAGATTTTTCTCTACAAGTATATAATATGTATTCTTCCAGATGGTGTACTGTATGTTTTTATAAGGGCTAAAAGCCATGTAAAAGTGGTGAATTAGTTCTACCAAAATTCAACATTTTACCGCTAAAATAATAACTTTACCTTCCATGTTAATGTTCTAACGCATGTGATCGGCAGCAATGAAACTCACGTAAACACTCTTCTTTCAGTGGTGAATTCAAAATTCGCTTTTATGTAACCAGGATAGAAGAATTATTAAGTTGAAAATGAAAATATGACGATAGTAAGTTATATTGACAAAAATGACGAAAATACCAAGTCAGTAAACATGACGATTATCCATCATTTTTCAGAATGACATTTTTTAGTCTCACCCCTGACTGGTGTAAACTGTACACTGTGTAAACTATAAGTCATATATATGTAGTTAAAAAATTTTGTAGTCACATATGTATATTTAACTTTCATTTTCTTTTAATTGCTAGTTCAGTATGTTAACTTGTTAAAATGTGTACATTATTATATATACTCTGCATTGGGCAGAAGTGATTTAATTAAATAATTAATAATATACTATCTTTCAGCACTGACTCTTGCTGTCCATCGTTCATTGCAGTTTAATATGATTTACACATGCGGTTCATCATACAATCTTTACGCTTTTCTCCATATATTATGTATCTGTTTATTCTACATGAGGCAAAAGTGGATTTCTTTTTAACATATCTTCTAGCACTGACTCTTGCTGCCTCATGTTGATGTGTCAGGTATATCTTATATGTTCAGATGTATATTGCATTTATAAAAGTGCAAATGTTTACATATTAAGTATTAATAAAATATGCAGATTTATATTGATTTAATAATGATAATACATGTCTACGTATGAAACTTTAAAATACTCTTTATTGTGTATTTTCTATAACTATATCTGTAATTATTATATGTCATATCATTTAATTATGTTTATGTCCATTTTGATTTGGTATGAATGGTTTTCATATCTTGTGAGTCCAGACTGCCCCCCTCCTAAAAATGGGGAGGGGAGGGGTTCTCAGTATATATTATACAGTATTATATATACATGCAAACAGTGCATGCACAATTTATATATATTCACAATAGATCAAATGGTACCATAAAGAGAATATTAAACTATTGGTGTTATGAACATACTTTGAATATTCTAATTTTGCCTTTAGTCAGGCTATCACCAAACTGCAGCAAATTATGTTCATGCTGTTACTGTAGCAGGAAAAAATACAGCTCATTCTTTAACAATTTTTGATAAAACTGCAATCTTATTTGTGTGTGTAGCTGAGTTAGTGAGGGGGCAATCCGGGTATCCCGATTGTATACCATGGTTCAGGTTGGTTCTGTTGTTAATTTGAAAAACCTGGGTTTCTTTATTTAGTTTTGATGTGACAATAAAGATGGTACATGTTTGAAGTTGTGCATCATTATATATTTTATTTAACTTTGTATCACATACAACAGTGACACAACATTTGAATTCATGATTTCCAAAGGGAAATGTGGCGATCAAACAGGTTTGATTGCCAGTAGCCAGATAGCTCAGTTGGTAGAGCACCTGACTGGAGATTCAGGGGGCCTGGGTTTGAATCCCAGTCTGGTCCGTCACATTTTTCTTCTTTCCTGTTACATTTGGTGTCGTGCCATGCCCTGGAAGTGACAGTTGAAAGACCTGCCAGGGAAGAGCCTGGGTTGGTGTCTTTGGGGGCCAAAGACCTTTAAGGAGGGAGGAATGTGGCCCTCAGATGGGTTTAATCGTCAGTGGCCAGATAGCTCAGTTGGTAGAACACCTGACTGGAGATTCAGGGGGCCCGGGTTCGAATCTCGGTCTGGTCCGTCACATTTTTCTCCTCTCCTGTTACAAAATGTTAATCAAAATGAAGGAAAAATTTATTTTTTTTCATATTAAATTTCTCCACCATGTTGACATTTACCGGTATATCTTTCTGCATTGTTATTAGTGATATCTAGGTTAAAGTAGTCAGTCTCTATTATTATTTGCTACTGAATTGCTGATAGACTTAATGAAATTCAATCTTCAAGCCCCCAACCCCACCTCCACCCCACCCCAAAGACTGTTGCATGTATTTTAATGTTTCTAGTCTAAGTCATGCCAGTGGAGAACTATGAAAGTCTGTTTTGGATATATGTCCATTAATGTCTCATATATCAAATCTTTCTTTTGCAACTTTCCATATTCATCCCATTAAATTGTAGAATTTAATATAATTTTATATGCAGTGTTATACGTCAGAGTTGACCATGGCTTTAATGTTTACTAAATAATTAATTTCCATAAAGGATTACAATTATTCTAAATGTTGTATACGGTACATATAACATGTAGAAGCAGTCTTCCTGAAGTATTTTGGAATATCCTGAATAGTGACTATCTTTTCCTGTCATTCATTTGAAATTAAAAATAAGTTTGATCATCCTAAAATCTTCATTCTTATGACAGAAATATATATATTTTTCATCAGTTATCAATTATCTTGCTTTGGATGTACATGTGATGATGAGGTTCTTTATAGAGAAAGAATATTGATTCTCTACCACCTCCCCCTCCCCTCCTCTGTTTTGCGTCAACGGTTGCATATGACCAGGTGTTAAGACCCTGTTTCAAGATCATTTAAAAAAAATCAAGATTACAGGGATATGAACTGTAATTTTTTCCTTGATCTGCAACTTTGTAATGCAGACATGCACTGTGATGCACATGACCATGTGTCATGATCCTAATTTAAGGTCATAAAGACAAGATTGGGGGGGGGGGGGGGGGTTGAAGTTTATATATTCTTGTCCAGGACATATTTATGTATTGTAAAGATTTAAGAAGCTCATACATAAAAAAAAACATCCTTGTTTATGTGTATGGGATTGATAGAAGGTGCAAGTCCCTTAAGCACAGACTTGCAATTAAACTCTCTAACTCGCTTCAAATATTCTGTTTTAACATACCACAAAGATGCTTTTTTGATGCCTCTACATCATGTGCATGATTAAAAAAAACATTAAGCAGAAGAGGCTACTTTTATGGCATTTAAAAATGTAGAATTAGGAATTCGAATTAAATATGAAAATCAATTTTTATAATGTTGTATTTCAGATTTACTATTGATGGAAGGTTAATTTCAAGAAACATTTGGGGAAGGAATGTTTTAAAAACATTTTCAAAAATGCATAACAATGTTAAATAAGTTTTTAAATTAAAATATACACATAGATATTTTATAATTCTGTGGTTATAATAATTTTTATATTTAATTACAGAGCAACACAGATTACTTAGAAGAAGTAAACATGAAAAAATCATCAGCTGATACGTCTTCAGACTCCTATAAAATGTTGTATGGGACATGTCCTGATGAACAGTGTAAAGCCAAACTCTATTTCCCATCTTATGATAAAAGCATTGAGTGTACTAGCTGTGGTCAGAGACATGAAAAATCAGCAATCAAAAATGTGGCTGAAGTTACAAATCCGAAGGTTGCTTTTCATAACATTCTGAAAAACCTTCTTCTTGGAAATGTGAAACCTAAAAAAGGTGCAGACAATGTGAAAGTGCTAGGTCTTTCTAATTATGTGTGTAAAATTGTGTCACCAATCTTGACAAGATATGGTATGGACAAGAACACAGGGGCAGCCAAACTGCTGACAGAGCTTGGACAACCAGCAATCCTGGACTGTGGGAAGATTTTAGGGGATAGGGCCTTTCTCATTGAGGAGGAGAATCTGGACATTATTGGTTATGGGAGGGACAGGACAGGAAGTGCCCAGTATCTTGCCGACACTCTTAATGTAATTAAGGAGGCTAACGATAATGAGAGTAGACTGGTTCCCATTCATGCCGATGGAGATGGTCACTGCCTTGTGCATGCTGTGTCAAGAGCTTTGGTTGGACGAGAACTATTTTGGTATGCTTTGAGAGTGAACCTCCTGAACCATTTTCAGTCAAACCTGACCACCTATAAGGATCTTTTTTGTGATTTTATTGATGTGGATGAGTGGGATTCAATCATTAAAGAATGTGACCCTGATTTTGTGCCTCAGGATGGGGAGCCTCTGGGTCTGAGGAATATCCATGTGTTTGGACTGGCAAATGTTTTGAGAAGACCTATTATCCTGTTAGATTCTATCAGTGGAATTCAGAGCTCAGGGGATTATTCTGGTAAGTATGAACCCCACAATTAAGGGAGAATGGTCTCTGCTGGATTTTTCTATAATTTTGACATTTTCCCCTCAGATGCTGGAGATAAACATGAAAATCAAACAAATTTAGTTTACCCTAATTTGACACAAATTATTATTGAAGATGGAAATGTTTGAAACATGGTAAAGAAAATATAGTGATTTATCAATAACTATTATAGCACTTGCCAATTATATAGGAACTCTTTGTTATTGGAGACACATTAAGTCTATAGGGCCTGGGGACAGCGAGATATGATAGACCATTGCAGGTCAAAGTCTTGGAACAATGAATTTTGTTATTAAAAAAAGAAGCATGAGTTAAGGGAATGTTAGCAAAAAAGGAGGCATTGATCACTCTGACAAAAAGTGAGCATATCTGTTACATTAGGTTGCATTATTTCTTTTCCTTTCAGTTGAAAATTGAACAAAAAAAAATTTCACAAGATTTGGACTACAGTAAAACACGCTTATAACCAAGTACCAGGGATGGACAATTTTGCTTTGTTATAAGTGTAATTTGTTGTGTCAGTTAACATGGTTAAGTTTACAATTTATATTTTAAAGTCACAGGAAATGAAAATCACTTCATTGTAAGTGTCAATTCATTGCAAGTGTGTTTGCTATAAGCTTGTTTTACTGTATATCAAACTTTTATAAAGAAGAGTGCACTCAACATGCTCAAGAAAAGTTACTCCAGGTCCTTGTGATAAAAACTGTTGTAGAGTTAATTCTCTTAGCTGATGTTCATTTCTTATTGAACATATTTTTAACTTCTTTCAAACTTTTTCCAAGGAGTAGCTCATGTTTGATAGCATGAGATATCCCCCCTTATTTAACCATATTGACAGCTAGTTACCAGAGCAGTTGGAAGGTATTTTCCCCTAGTGTTGTATATAAGGTAACCTTATTACAAGATAAACATTATAAAAATGAATGTTGCCTAATCCCAGCTGAAATATTGGCAGGTGTACACATCCACACAAGAAACAAAAGATGTTGAGAACCAGAGATCATTTTTCATAAATTTAAGAAAAAATTGTAAAACAAATTAACACAGTTATGATATTTCACACGGCTGGTAAAACTATTCAAGATATTTCTATTAAAGCTTTCATGCTGATACATATTGATACTATTCAACTGCATCAAAATTTTTGACCTTGACTTTCCCTTTGACCTTGACCTCACGTTTCTTATTTGTTTGTTTGTTTATTGTTGTTTAACGTCCCTCTCGAAAATTTTTCACTCAATATGGAGATTCCACCATTTGCCAGTGGAGTGCTGCAAATTTTGACCTATACTCGGCACTCAAGTCCCTTGAGCAATGAGGGATCTTTTTCGTGCCAGCACCTTCTGTGACACGGGACCTCAATTTATATGGTCTCATCGGAAGGACCGGTCTCCACATCCCACAGTTGGATTCGAACCCGCGACATAAGGATCAACTCCTTACTCCGTGATTCTAGAGCAAACGCTCTAACCACTGCGCCACGTGGGTGACTCACTTTCTTAAATTAGTGTTTAGCTCAGTTTCAAAGAAACTATTCAAGATAATTTTAAAAATCTTATATGGTAATACACATACATACTGATACAAACTATTCAACTTTATCAACATTTTTGACCTTGACCTTTCCTTTGACCTTGATACTACTCTCTTAAATTAGTGATTATCTCAGTTTCAAAGAAACTTAAAGATGTTTTTATCAAACCTTATATACTTATACATATTGATGAGAGCTGTTCAATTGCATCAGTATTTTTGACCTTGACCTTTCCTTTGATCTTGACTTCATATTTGTGCTTAACTGCCAAAGAAACTATTCAAGATATTTTTATCAATCTTTATATGCTTATACATATTGATGAGAGGTGTTTAATTGCCTCAATATTTTTGACCTTGACCTTTACTTTGACCTTGACTTGAAATTTGTGTTAAGCTAAATTTCAAAGAAACTATTCAAAGTATTTTGTCAAAATTCATATGCTTATGCATATTGATTAGAGCTGTTCAATTGCATCAACATTTTTTACCCTGACCTTTCCTTTTACATTTGACCTCACTTTTATTTTCAAATTTGTGTTCAGCTAAGTTTAAAAGAACCAAATGAAGTTATTTTTGTCAGACTTCATATGCAGATACATATTGAAGAGAGCTATTCGACTTCATGAACATTTTTCAACCTTGACCTAAGTTTCTTTTGATGACCTCACTTTTCTCAAATTTGTGTTTAACTCAGTTTCAAAAAAACTATTCAAGATTTTTTTTATGTAAGCTCATGCACTGATACATTATTTGGTGAGAATTAACTATGTCCATTTTTTTCCCCCTAGACTTTCCCAATGACCTGTGACTTTACTATTTATTTTGTATAAAACTCAGTTTTAAAGAAACTATTCAAGATATTTTCTTCAAACATTAATTCATATTTTCATGCTGCATAACTAATGAACCCTGTGTGGGGCATTCATGTCCTATGGACATATTTCTATTTTGTAATTGACAGGACTTTTTAATTTTGCTGTCAGAAGTTTTGGAAATTCATTTGTTGTGTTTTCTTGATCATTGCAAGAGATAGTCTGAATAATATGGCAAACAAACACAAAACATCATTTTCATTTTTTACTTTATGGGCATATTAACAGAAATTAAAATATAAGATTGTGAATGCTACATGTTTTAGATTTATGATCAGATGAGTTGGTGACATTTGTGTCTGAATTTGCTTGTAATGCATTCATCTTGTTTATACAGGTAATCTGTAATAAAAATTACTATTCAAATTTTCAAAAAGTTTACATCATGTAAATGCATAATGATCTGCCTTGCCTCATATAGTGTAATGTCAAATGAGGAAATATTTATTATATTCCATATATATATTATTTATTTTGTATGTGGTATTTAATTAATTTAAAAACTTGAAAAAACTATATTTTTTAAGCCTAAAATCGTATGTTTTTTTAGGTCTTTATATAGATGCAGGAAAAATAGAATAGTCTTTGAATGTGAATAAAACATAAGATCCAAAATTAAAATGAGGATTGGGAATTATCTGTATAGTAATTTGGCCTCAACTTTACATTTATATAACTTTTTGACTACATTACAAGGGAGACTTCATATAATTTTTTAGGCATTGAAGTGCAACTCATTAGGTCATGGTCACAATTAGAGATATCAAGGTCATATTTTGTATGCTTTAATCATAGACCCTGTACTTGGGCCTAACAATCTCAATTATGTTTACATGTGCTCCCTCTTGCTTGGAAATTACTTTTTCAAACATTTGAATGAGGAAATGATATACACTTAGCTATTTAAGTAAGTAAGTGTTCATTAAGTGATGTTGGTCTATTAAATATTTGACTTATCTTTCCTTTTTTCAAGAGCTTTATTTTTCCTGTTTCTCTTATTGTGTGAATCTATCTTCTTTGTCCTTGACATAGATAATTTTAATAGTGGAGCCATAAAAAAAAAGATACCTTAGTAACAATCAATTCCGTCAGTTCTGAGATAAACGTCCATCCACATTGTTTAGTTTACTTTGAGTAATTGGCATTGAAGTAGGTTAGCTATTTCTGCTGTTAAACTGTCTATTATAATTCTTGGCTTTCCTTTAAAAAAAGAAAAGATTTACTTGTAAGTGTTCTTGAATGTGCTGATACATGCTTAGCTGTAGATATATATACTATAGCATCTGCTTGACGTGTTCTGTGGCAAGATTTTGACACTTTAACAGTTTTAAGTCTCATCCACACCACCCATAAGACTCTTTACTGTGAATGCCTTTAAGTCAGTCTTATTAAAATACAAGAGACAAGAAAAGCTTAAAGAGGAATGGAATTTATCAATGATATTGATAATTATGAATAGATTCAGTCAAACCTTATCTCAAAGTTGAAAGGACCCAGAAATAACTTCTAGATATCAGTAGGTTATCATGGTTATAGACTCTGAGGTTAAAATAATGTAAAGAAAATAAGGTTGGGACTTCAACTCACTTGTTTATTTGTTTACAGGTGTGTTTTTACCTGGCCTGTTGCCCCCAGAAGAGTGTAAGAGCAAGGATGGTGTCCTGAACAAACCATTGTGTATTGCCTGGAGTAGCATGGGGAGGAACCATTATATACCACTGGTTGGCATCAAAGGTGAAGGGAGACTTCATTATTATGCAAATTATCTGAAAAAGTCAGCAATCAGGGTCACAAGCACTCAATCAACAAAATGTGTCTGATCTCAAAAAGTTCAGTATTCCCCTAGTTTTCTCTGTACTCTCACCTTCAGCTCAAAGGTCAAAACTTTAAAGGTCATGTCAAGGACTTGAAAAATTCAAATTCAGATTGTATGTTTATCTTGTGTATTGTTTTTGTTTTACCATCAAAACTATGCACAAAGTACCTTATCAAAATTGCTAATTTTTCATTTTCAGATATATACATATGTACTAGACTCTTGTTTCCCTGTCATAGTCCTAAAGCTGACTTTAGAATTATTCATGAGCTGTATTGTTCTATGACAGATTACATATATTAACCTTTGTTTTTGAAACTGTTTAATTATTAATGCATTCAGTAAGAATACTAGTAATATTCCCTTACCTTTGTTGATTCTACACTCTACCATACAGACTTTCCAAGTCTTTGACTGTGGTCATATTCCACTGATGTCACGTCAGGTAAAAAGTTTTTAATTTAAGCAGCATAGTAGAAATCTGTTTTAAGACAACAAGGCACAGAATACAGGTATTAAGTTTAAGACTGATCATCACAATTTCAAAGCAATACATAAATTTTACTGAAACATTTTTTCTTGCAGGAAAGGAGCAGCCCCTCCTGCCCCGTTATATGATCCAGAGAGCCTGGGGTCTGCCCTCTGTTCAAATTGATAAGTACATCGACTTCAACGAGAAAGGCTGCTGTGTCATAGGTGGAAATAAGTGTCTCTCAGTAAGTACTCAATATTCAGATTCTATGAGACAGTTGTATATTTTGTATATTTTTGGGAAACTTTTAATAGTAGACATATTTCTTATATCTCCTAAAGCTACATACTGTGATGGATATAGGAGTGTCTTATAACTTGCCTCTCATGTTCATAAATATTTTGTTACCCGGGCCAAATCAACTTCAAAACAAAGGTTTTCTTTTTTTTTCAAACCAGTGTATGTTACACATAACCAATCATAATATGTCCCACTTGTTAAAGTAGGAATCAGGTGCGGATCTAGTTGAAGTTAGGGAGAGGCACAAAAGTAGGCAGGGGGTCTGGGGGCCACCTTGAGGCCCCCAGTAAGTCCAGGGCGAAGCCCTGGTGGGGGCCAGGGGGCGAAGCTCCCAGAAGCTCCTGGATTCTAGATATTTTGTGGGTAAAAATGAGGTCTACCGAGTAGACTTTTTACATTTTCTCGACGAAACTATGATTTACGCTAACTTTGAAAGTTTTAGGAGGGGGATGTCCCCCCTTAAATCCGCCACTGGGAATTGATTTGATACTTTATTATTTCTGCATTTTTTGCTTCAGCCAAAGAAGTTCAGGATATTTTATACTTTTGAAAATTTCTGTCATAGACTTAAACCTGGATGCATTAAAATGTCCAATTTGCTACAAAAAGGGATTAAAATACTTTTGAAATTTACAGCAACATTTGTATTCATGAATATGAGAGAGATAATGGGTGCTGCATAGTTGTTTCTCCAGAGTAAATGCATTGTCCACATTTAATACCCGGATTTTAAATGCCCATTTTATATGCTGACATTTGAATCTATTTTGTATGCTACTATTTCTGATTGATTGATTTCTATCTTCTACCCAACCAAAAATGACACAGTTTAAATTACCATTCCTCAATAGGTCTATAAATAACACGGGTTGTTTGAATGCATGCAGACAAAGCTCTTATTGGTAGAAAATTTCAAAAAATGCATTGAGATTTAAGGTGACTGCCTTTTAACTTCAGCAATTTGAAAATGTGTCATTTGAAAAGAACTCTTTGAAAAATAAGTGATTGATGGTCTGTTAATTAGTGTGAAGCGCTGTCTTAATGGAGAATTTTTCCATACACAAAGATCTACAAATTGCCTGTGACATTTCATTTCTATTGACTTTGACAGTTTTGAACATAACGGTGCGTAATACTGACTGAATGAACATAATCATATTATTTTATTGATTAGATGTGCTGTTAATGCTTTAATTAACTTTTCATGATGGGCAGGATAAATACATCAGGACTCTTGTATCAGCCATGGAAAAAGTTTACATGGATAAATATGGAGTTCATCCTCAGCTTGTGGCAGACACTCATCAATACCTGTACAGAACTCTAGGTAATGTATATAATCCAGAATTGAGACCTGAAGCACACCTGTGGCATTTAAGGAATATTTTCTTTGCCTATATGTGCATTATAACCTTGTGAATTATGTGCATTGGGACATCTTGAAAATCTGTGTAAATATCAACCAGTTTAGGATTTATTGCACTGTAAAGGGTTTGAATAATCAATTTAATCTTAATGTGTGTTCTTTTACAATTTTAATTTTTTTTTTAAACAATATGTAATTGTGTTGTCAATTTTTTACAGCATGGATGTACATGTACCAATATCTGTATAAGGAAAATAGCATTGGAAATATAAAAAAATGGAGATCTGTATACATTTTTATGATATAAATTGGTAGAAAACACTGGATAATCCATGTTTACTTTATGACAAATGCAACAATATGTTTCCCTAATTACCTTAGTAACCTTAGTAAAGCATTATACATGTATGATGTAAAAACCATAAAGTATTTAAAAATATCTGACTAGGTAATCAATTTTTAGATCAATATGCAAGTGCTCCGTTTAATGTAAATTCAAGTTCATAAAATATGTGGCTCCCATTTCCAGGATGGGGCCTGAATATAACACAGGTTCAGTATTTTACACAGGATTATAAAATACATTTTTATAAACATAAATTTGGGACCATTAGAAGAATCAAACATTTGACATAGAAACCTACAGATAAAATCTTTAAATGTCTTGAAAAACAACAAATTATCAAATTTATGTGCAAGCATCCTCATTTAGTTCAAGTTTATCTAAGCAAGGTCATTAGCTTGAAGTTTGAGGCCAAATTAGGGGTATCTTATGCTTATATAAAAATCATTTTGCTGTAAGAGCAATGTGATGTAGGGGACCATGCACCTCTTGTTTTGACATGTTTCACTGTAAATATAAGTGAAGTTTACATAGGTATATTTATTACCTTCAGTAGGTGATATTTGATTGTCATTTTTATTAGGAATGCTGGTATAAGGTAACTGTCTTTATGATATACAGTATGTAGTTCGATCTTCATAGAATATTTCACCAATAGAGAAGTGTTTAACTCTAGGAAATGATTTTAAAAAAAATCCTTTTCAAGTTGAAGGGATTTTTGATCTAACAAAGCTGTGTAAATAGCCATATAAACTTGTAGATCAAAATAATTACAATGATGAAAATATGATATTGATTTTGTGCATCAAAGGTAACAGAATCAGAAAGAATAATTACCTTGTTCACCATTTTTAAATTAACAGGTATGGTGGGTGTTAGAATGGAAGAAGTCTTAAAAACAACCAGGGAAGCTATTCAGAAAAAGGCCTTATACCGGTGTCTGACTTGTGAGGCTATTATGGAGTATCAGTTACACGATGAGTGGTTCAGAAAAGGGGGAAGTCTCTACAACTTAGCAGAGCAGACGTATGGGAAATTGAGACCAGACAAGAAGTATTCCTTTCCACAGCAAGGTATGAAAACAAAAGGCTCACAGAAGACAAAATCCTATTATATCTTTTTTAATGACTGATGATGGATTTTGATGTCTTGGGACTTTCTTGTCGGGATTAAGGATATTCTTGACTTTAAAAAAATCAATGCAAAAGAAGTACTATTCTTTCAGAGCAGGAAATGTGAATAATATTGTTAAGTGTATCAGAGAGGGAGATTTTGGAGTTTGAGTTTGTTGTGAATTAGATGTTATTATCCAGCTGATTTTGTAAATTTCAGGAGCCATATGTAGTTATGATAAAGATCAGGATAAACTCGTACCAGAACTGACTAGATGTAAACCAAGCACCTGCTCATATTGTCAAGGGTAAGGAATTTCTGTGTATTTGTTAATCTTATTTATGCAGGGATGAGTTTTGTCACATGTAGAACTCATTTGAATCTAATCAAAATTTTCTTGTTTTGATGCATCAAATTACCTTTTGTCTCTCTTATTAATTGTTTCCCCAAACTTTTTGTGGTACTAACTTATATGGCATCTAAAAGTTTTTTTTTTCTTGTCTGTTATTTGATATCCTCATTTATTGCTCAAATAAAAAAAACCCCTAAAATTTGCACCTCTTTGAAGACAAATACATCACAATTTTATCTATGTAAACCTTAAACAATATACAGTGTATTATGCATGATACCTACAATGTTAATTGAGTTGGGCAGCAGGTTTTTTGAACTGATTTCTATACAAGTGCTGTCTGCCTGTGGTCTGGGGATGGTGAATTCAAGAGGGCTTGGAGGTTGCAGTTTGCAGTAAATTATCTAAAAGGGGAAATGGTTTAATTGATTTATCTTGTTACTAATTTTTTCCCAGTATAGTATACATTCATTTTGATTTCCTGCATTGATTTTTGTTCTATGATGAAACTCAGTCTCATTATTTTTAGAATCTTTTGTGAACTACCTAGGTTATGACTGTGACACACATAAAAATTTTCCTGTTGATTTTTTTTTATTCTATAGAGATTTAATTGTATTTATCCACCTCTTGAATTATTGCTGGCAGTTTGCCATTAATTCTTTTAATCTATCTTTTTTCCAAGAGTGTTTGATAATGTCAATGAAAGCATCACATTTAATGATTTTTTTTTCAATTTAGCTTCAGCTATCTTGCTTGATTGCATTTAAAATTTACCTTTTCAAATTTATTTAAATAATTTATTAACACTAATGTCGATATCTGTTATAGCCTAACTTTTTGTTATCTCGTTTTGTGGGTCATTCAAGGGCACTGAACTTTTATCTATTGATGAAATCCATGACCTATATACAGTACCTAATAGAAAATGTGTTAATAATTGATAAAAATTGCAGCCACTTTGGCTTGGTGTCTCTGGTAAATTGATGTATTGATAAAATTTCTTTTTCAGTATTTCAATTTACAGCAGTTCATGTACATTTCTGTCTCTGTTGCAGTGAAAATATTCGACTTGTGAACGGGGATGGTAGTATCTGTTATGAGAACGGAGACAGAACAAATACCCCCGCTGTATCCAGTCGCTGTATGTGTGGATTTAAACATTACTGGGATGGCAAGGAGTATGACAACTTACCAGAAATGTGAGTTTTAGAAACTTCAACAATACTTTTTAATCATATAGATATCTCTTGGAATATTTATAACAGGAACAAGTGAAATATGAGTTTGTATCAAGTTGCATGTACTTGTACATGTATGTTGCATATTTCAGAAGATATTTAAAACAGATATTTCTTCAATGTCTTGCATTTAAAAAACAAAACATTATCAGGAAACACACAGTTTATATTATACAAATCTTGATTTTCCTTTAGTTTTCCCATCTCCATGGACTGGAATGGAGAAACTGTAACAGAAAAAGTAGTGTGGTTCCAGCATGAATCAGATGTCACTCTCAATAGTAATGTGTTTGAAGTAGCTCAAAAATTAGTCCAGAAACACTTCCCAGGTAAAGTCACACCTGTGTAATACATTATTGATCTTTCCATGTGGATTTCACATTGCTTTACATCGAAAAAAAAATGTTTTTTTTTAGACAAAGTGTCTTCCTCTTCCCCAATTGTAAACAATTACATTTGGCTGTGTATTCTTTTTAGCAGTTTTTGCTGAAAGCAGCACCTAAATATTATTACATTTACTGTAACAGTATACCCTTGGCAATCACTTTGTGACTTAAAGGACATAATCTTGACTTTGAGATGTGATCTTGGGTCAAGACCATGATACACCTTTAGGTCATCATCAACAACATACATTTAGTACAAACAAGGAATTATTACCCAAAATTCTTAATATCATATTCCAGTGACCTTGACCTTGAGATGTAACTTTAAGACAAAATCATAACATTCATTGTAGGTCATGGACATCAGCATACATTGCACTAAAGTCTGAACCTATTCCAATAAATGGTGAAAATTATGGCCCAGATATGATTTTGTGACTTTTCATAGTTCAAATTTAAATTATCTGTATAGGAGAGTTTGGCAGTGAGCGCCTCGTACAAAGAGTGGTGGATACTATATTGCGTCACACTGCTCCAAAGGTCAAAGATCGGGAGGGAGGAAGTTCAGCAGTTGTGTCCCCTTACCAAGACACAGATTGGTCAGCAGAAGAACCATCCAAAATCATACTAACTGGACACAAGGTATGTACTGACCAGACACAATATGTACATGTAGCAGGAGATTCACTTTTCGTGGAAAGGGATTTCTGTATGATATATATGTATTAAGAAGGTAAAATATACTAAAATTGATATGAAACATACATATGTAAGGCCATCTTTAAAAAATTGTTTGTTTGCTCTCTCCCGACTGACTTGCTAAAAATGGCCCAACTAATTTTTTTTAAACTTCCAGGAAATGCTTTATTTTTTTTTTATTTATTTATTTGAGTCAGGAGAGGGTTTATTATTATTAAGTTACATTATTTTAAAAATGGCCTTAGTAAAAATGGAAAAATTCTTCAATAAGGCAGAGATCTGCATTCATCTGTAAAAGGTCGTTTTACTTTAAGCATACTTCAATTTGAGGTATTTAGGCTCGCAACTACATAATCTTGATTTTTGAGGAACAGTTGTTTTAATTCAATACATGTAAAAATGACATTTTTATCTTAATTTATATAGCAAAAGACTCTACACAAAGAGGAACTGACCGTAAGCCAAAAGGAGAAAATGGTTAAAAAGCAGATAGAAACGCAAGCTCCAAAACACCAGCAAAAAAAATCAAAGGAGATGTCTGCCTCAGCAAGTAAATCTAGTCCCTCTAAGGTAATTTATAAACATTTGCAACATAGAGCACATTTTCTTGAAGGAAATCTAACCATGTCATTTGTTAAGTGTAATGCTTGCAACATGAAATGCACACTGCCAAGTTTACTGAATGTGCTTCAATTACGTTCTCCCTTAGATAAATTAATTCTGGCATTTGATGTCTCTCCTTTGTGCAGTATAATGCAATATAATCTCACAAATGTCCTGGTGTATTATAGAAGAAATTCATCTTAAAAGGAGAGATCTACTGAGAATTAGTGTTTGTGCAAATGAGAATCTCATCTTTAGGGACAATGCTTTAGTTGCGTCTTGAAAAGTCCTGGTGTTTTTTGAAGTATTGATTGTATACACCTGCTAATTTAATTAGTGAAACATAAAACTTATATAGACAAGAACAGTGATAAAACATTTTCAGCTTTCATTAAGGGAGAACATCTGCTCTAATTAATTAAAACATACCATCAATGGAAAATTCCATCGTAAGCACCATGTGGGTAATGGTAACTTCATCTGAAAAACCTGTGCCCCCAAAAAACATTGTTTGATGAGGAATCATTTGTGTCCTTGAATTTCTTGTGTTTTGAATATGTGTATGGATTTTGTAAATCAGATTCAATGGTTTTTGTTTGCAGCCAAAACTGGAGCATGCACACAGTAAGGAGTCATCTCCAGTTCCCATGGAAATGGATAAATCCTCTGGTCAAAAGAAAGTCCGGGTAGCCACCTCTGATGGCCGACAGGTTCGTTTAAAATTGTATTGAAAAGGATACTGTAATGGAAGGTTTAATATATTGCTACATTTTATTATCTATGAAATGTACATCACAAAGTCAGAGTTGAAGGTTAGTTTTATATTACATTGTACAAATGTATCACCATAATAGTCTTGTTTACCAGTAATACTAGTATCTTTACTGACAGCTGTTTGCTCAGTAAACTGTTAACCAGCTGTGATTCCAAAGTGGGAGGGGGGAGGGGTTCTTCAGTGATTTTACTTTAATAATGTTATTTTTACCTAAATTATGTGTATCTTTATTCAAGTTCCTAGTACCTAAGTACCAAAAGATTATTATTTATCTAATATTTTCCATTGTTCATACATGTTATTTGACAATATATTCACAACATAGATGGAGGGCAGTTAAAGGAAGACACCAACATTTTTTGTGTGAACTTTTCAAAGATTAACATTATTGCTATGACCATTTCATATCTGTGTTTAACTACATTTAAACTGCAGAGTACCTATTTATTAATAGTTAGAGGAAAACACCCATGTATTGTTGGGTTACTTGGTGCATGGTCAAGGTCAACACTTTGAATCAACACCTGTTAACAAATGTTAATTTTCATACAGAAAACTTTCATTGCAACCTCTATTTCGTTGAAGTAATGGAATTTATTTTATTTAAAAAATGTTTTATTTTCTATTTTTGTATACATACATTGTAGGTTATGTTGACTGTAGAAGGACAAGTTAATTTTGAAGCTCTTCAGAACATGATCTACAAGGCTGTGAAAGTTCCTCCGGAGAGACAGAAAATACGGATCGGATTTCCTCCCAAGGAATTAAAGAGACCTTCAGACTCGGACATTAATGAGCCTATTCCACTCGCTCACGGAGACAAAATATCACTGGAAATCATTCCAATGGTACATTCTTTGTCTGACTCAGGAGCCGAGAGTTCACATCATGAGCATAAAGGTAATTTCGAATGTGTAACTAAAACTAACATTAAAATTTGTAGGTTACTTAAGCTCAAGGTTCTGTTTTCAAATAAAAAAAAATTGTTACATATTTTGAGCATGGAAATAAAAAAAAAATGGAATATTTGAGCTAGAAATTTTTGAGGTCATCTGTATAGTATAGTAAAACATGCTTAGAACAAAGTGAAGGTTGATCTTGTTTTGTTTTCAGTGTAATTCAGTATATCTGTTAGGTTCAGAATATATTTTGAAGCTGCAGGGAATGAAAATCACTTTGCTGTAAGCATCAATTCATCGTAATCATGTTTATTATACATGTTTTACTGTACTTCATAGTAGTGAAACACTTCAACAGCATCTTTAAAGATTGTGTATATGTAATGTATATGTAGGTCTAGTATCACATGGATTTTCCTTACGACTAATAAAGCAGCATCATATCAGCATAGCTGACTCAGCTTTGCTGTTTATTCACAGAAATGATTTTGTAGGCTGATACATTTATTTTGAAATGGAAAATGAGTCGTGAAATGTTTTTTCTGTTGCTCTATAGCTCTTAAACATTCCTCCTCTGCTCCCGTCAAACACAAACAAAAGTGGAGTAATTTTGAAGAGGACATCCACCATACTCCAGCATTTGAACCATTGCTTCAGAGTTTCCATGATCAAGCAGGTCAGAACACTGGAGATTGTAAATAATCAAAATTAAGATTGTATATATTTTTTCATATACGTGTAATATTTATTTTTCATTTACAGTCCCCATGTCCAGCAAAATCTGGACCTAATTAAAAAAAAAAACAACTACCCTCTCATATTTTCAAGTACTATAGTATATTTTCTTGAAACATTTTGTCTGACAGCTACTTTATTGAAGTTTACAAAGTATGATATAAATTTGGATTCTTTCTGTGTACAAATTGTGATGTGTGTCAATAAAGTGGCTTTTACTTTTTTTTCTCAAAATAGGTAGTAACAGCCTTGATGCTGCAGTTGCCTCTCTTACCATCATGGCTACTCTAAAAGGTCGCGACCTTTGGACCCATGTACAGACCATGCCTCATTTATTTTCTGTGGGTGGATTGTTCTACAAACAAGTAGAGCGTGACCTAGGACTAGTAGATGGCAAACACTGCACATTACCCACTCTACCTGGAAAAGTAAGTATTCTTACACTAGTAGATAAGACTCATTAAAATCATTTGTTTATTTACCAGTAAGACTTGTAAAGCACTCGCAAAAAGTATACAAGTCATCATTAGTGTAAATGTTTCTAAGGGGCAATGTTTTTTAGCTCACTTGAGCCAAAGGCTCAAGAGAGTTTTTCTGATCGAGGTTTCTGTTGTCCTCTCTCAGTTGGTTAACTTTTTTGAGTTCTTCTCTTAAAGCAGTACTGGCCCATTTTCAATCAAACTTGCCACAAAGCATCTTCGGGTAATGGGTATTTAAATTTGTTCAAATGAAGGACCACATCCTCATAGAAGGGGAGGAGATCAAGAAAAGGTAAAAATGAGGGTTGGTGTTTTAAAAAATCTTCTCAAGAAGCACTGGGCCAGAAAAATTTGAAATTTACATGAAAGTTTTCTTACAAAGTGTAGATTCACTACACTTTGGGAGGACAAAACCTTTGAATGTACCTTAATCAATAGGCATAAATAAATATTTGGGTGATGAATGGAGCAAAATCAGATTTTAACTGGAAAACCTGAAAGGAATAATGAGTGAAATGAAAGTTGTATAAAGTATATAATTTTGATGATGTTTGAATTTATTTGAAGGTATTCAGATATAATCAGGCAGAGAACAGATTGGAACTGTGTATGGAACCATATGGACACTTTCAAATTGAACCTGGTGTTGAGAGCAAAGCCGAAGAATCCAGACCTATATTTGGCTCCCAGAGTGAAGGGTCGTTTAGTGCATTTAGTGGAGCAGTTGGAAATAAGAGCAAACAGACTGCATTCACAGGGCAAGGACACTCACTGAAAACAATGCCTGACATTGAGAAAATGCCGGAAGACATCCCAGAAAACTTGCACCAACATGTACGTCACTCGCACACTCTCTGTAACCCAAATGTCCACCAAGAGTCAATTGCTGAAGAGCCAGAGGAGCAGATGGGAGTGGATCTAGAGAAAACCAGGGGTGCAGGGGGAAGTGTAGGGCAGGGGTACCAGAGAATAGGACCTGGATACAGTGTTATCAGTCATTCTGATGAGAACCAGACAAACAAGTCTGTTCAACAATTTAAAGATCTAGCAGAGAGCATTGAAAGAGCAATGAATGAGGACATATCTAAAATTGATGAAGAGGTAAAAAATGCTAGTTTGAAAAGCATCAAATTTCTTTTTAAAGTACATGTATCAAGATGATATTGAATACTTCGTTAGCTCTACTTGTCAGAGATTAGAAGAGCATATGTGATCGTAAGGTGTCCTTCATTTATCCATTTAGCTGTCTGTCTGTAAACAATTTTTCATAATGCTACTCCTCCTACAGTTTGATCCAATTTCAGTATAACTTGGCAAACAAGTAGTCTACACTAAGATACTTAATTCTGTTTATCAGTTTTTGATTTGGATGGACAATGTTGCCATGGTTATGAAAATAGAAATTTCTGTGAAATTCTTTTAAAATGCTACTCTTCCTACAGTTTTGGTCTGATTGTAATATTACTTGGCACACAACTACTCTGAGATAAATTATTCCCTTTGTTGCATTTTGATTTTGATGTACGGTGTTGCCATGGTTTCTAAAAGTAGAATTTCTGTAAATTAAAATTCTTTCAAAAACACTACTCCTCTTACAATTTAATCTGATTGCAATAAACTACTTTTTTCGTCCTTTGTTACAAGTACAAATCAGATGAGCTGCAGTCTCGACAGAGACTTCTGGTTTTATCATTACAAGGCTGGCAATCAGTTCTTTGCTTATGTAATAAATGGCCCGGGGCATTATTTGATGTAGAAAAAAACTATATGTACCTGTATATCGGAAGATTTAGAAGTCTGCATGAAGAATATGCAGTCAAACTTCATTATACTTGAACTCTATGGGACCAAGAAAAATCAGAGATATCTGAGGTTCCAAGACACTGAGGTTAAAAAAAAAAACCCACAAAGAAAAAGTGTTTGGTGGCTCCAGCTCACTTTGACATGTCCATAGTGATCAAGATATCTATGTTCAATTGTACCTGAATTACTCAATTGCAGTATGCCAAAATAAATTTTCATATACTTGAATAATGTTTGTTAGTTTGAAAAAAAAAAAAAAAGCACTGTAAATTTGATCGATATAAAAGTTGTCTGCTTGTTTTAGATGGAGAAACTTGATGAAGAAGAGAGAAAAAGCAGAACGTCTAGCTTCAGTTCTCCACAGAACACAGTTAGCCAAGAGGACAACATATTCTTTAATGAAGATAAAACAGAATCTACGTCAGAGGAAAAGATGGAGGTCACAGGAAGTGAGGAAGGGAGACCACCCATGCCAACCTCAGCAGATGACCAATCAATTTCATGAGTGATAAATTAAAAGTGAAAGTAAATTACTTGGTGGTTAAAACTCAGTGATAGAATCCTGTGTATCAAATTCAGAATTGACTAATTCTTTTGAAACTGTTTTAAAATGGTTTCAACAAAATTTGAGCAATTACACATAGACTCAATATTTTAAATGCTGCTCTAAGCTTTTGATGTTTACTGTATGTGTAATAAATTTCATAGCAAAGAGAGATCAAAAAATGAAATGCTACATGTATTTAGCATATATATGTAGATGTTTGAAATATTCACCATCTGCAATTTTTCTTTTCTTTGACCTGCTGTTTATATATATCTTTTTACTTCTGTACTTCAGAGCCAAGCACTGAATGTTATGTCAGTTTTAAAAGTTATAATAAACAATTTTAAGTGTGTAGACTACAAAAAGAATGTTGTTTTGCCAAATTTCATCTGTCTTACAAGAAAGAAAAAAATTTGAAATTGTTAAAACTGCTGATAAGGGACACGGGATAATTCATAACACATGGATTGTTGGTTGTATTTCACATGTATACAGTTTCCATTCACTTCTGTACCAAAAAAAAAAATCACCCCTGTAGTATGTATTTAGAAATAGAAAAACCAGACCATTGTATTTTTGTAGTATTGTAATGAGCAGCCCTGATATTAATTTTGCATACAGTTTATGCAGTAATTTGCCATAATAAAGTTGTCTTTCAGTTGACATCTTATAAACTGTATTAAATCAGTGTACAATAATCTACAAACTAATGCCTGTGATGTGGACTGGGAAAGCTAGTTGTAAATAAATCATTTGAAATTGTCTTTTTCTGTGATCTTCATTTCAAGAAACTAGTTGATGTACACATATGCATGTTAATTTTTTTTTCAATTTATTTTTAAATATTAGGGATGGCTATCAAATACAGAATTGCTAATTGGTTAACCGCAAGATGTTTTGACCGATTAACCGGTTAATTGTATCGAATACACATTTTTCTGACTTTTTTTCAAGTAAACTTTGTTCATATGCACAAGGAAACAAAAAGAAGAGACTCTAGTTATATTCTGTTTATGTTCGATCAGTACACATTAAAAGACTTTATTTCAATTTCAAAAGGCAAAGAAACAAAAATAAAGAAAACCTTGAAACATCCTTGAGTGAGATATCAAAGACATTGATAATTTTTTCAGACTAGAAGATACACAAGGCCATTCTGCATTGTCATCATAAGCAGAAACCGAGTCTGAACTATCACTTAAACAATGTGTGTTTAAAAATATAATTTGACTGATAATTGCAAAGGAAAGACAGGTGTGATACTCATTGTTATCAGTTCACAATACTCCAAGGTGATTTAATTAATATCACTGAAGAAATACAGGACAGGCTGGGTAATAACAGGGTGTTCAAACAGTAATAAGACTTCACAGAGTGACTGACCAATTAGATGTACCCCAACGATTTCAATCCAGAGAGCCTCAAGTAATTACCTCCCAATCAGCTGAAATAAATGTATAAAAACGTTATAACTTATCAACATTCAGAGGTTTTTTTTTACATTGTTAAGTGAATTTTAAGAAAATTTACACATATTTTAATTTTTTGACTAACCGATTACAGATTTTCTAACCGATTACATATACATTCGTTCCGACCGAGTAATCGGTTAACCGATTACAAATTGTTATCCCTAATAAATATAATACAATAGTAACAATACAATCAAATACATACAGAGTTCAATGATTTTAGCTACATAAATTTCACACAATGTATTACTGACCTCGTTTACAAAGAATATTTTACTCCGCCATCATTTCATACATATGTTTATATCTAGAAGAATTAGTAAATCCCAAATATCCGTAAAAATCTTATACATAAGAAGCAGTGACAAATGTTGTAAATGTAGCTATTTTATTGATAAATATTTAAAATAAATACAAAAAGATAAAAACAAAAAACAAGATGTGTTTGTGAAACACTGATGCCCCCGTATAGCAGCTTATGGCTAAGGTTAAAGTTTCTCAAATGCAAGTCAAACTCCAGGTCAAGAGATCAAAAATGTTGGCACCCAAAGAAAGGTCTGTCTCGAGGAATATACCTGTGAAATTTGAAAGCCCTAGTTCCAACTGTTCAAAAGTTATGGTTTTTTAAAAGTAAGTTAAACGTCAAGGTCAAGGTCAAATGGGCCCCCAGGGAAGGTCTTGTCACAAGTGATACACATGTTCGTGAAATCTGAAAGCCCTAGAATCAAATGTTCACATATCATGGCCAAGGTTAAAGTTATTTAAAAGTAAGTCAAACTCCAAGGTCAAGGTCAATGCCAAAATTGTTGGTATCCAAAGGAAAGTCTTGTCCCAAGGAATGCACATGTGAAGTATGAAAGCCGTAGAAATAAATGTTTAAATGTTATGGCCAAGGTTAAAGTTTTTCAAAAGTAGGTCAAACTCCTAGGTCAAGTTCAAAGGGTCAAAGTGGTTGGTATCCAAAGAAAGGACTTGTCACAAAGAATAGACATGTTAAATATGAAAGCCCTAGCACCAACTGTTCAAAAGTTATGGCCAAGCCTGAAAGTTAAAGTTTTTCAAAAGTAGGTCAAACTCCAAGGTCAAGGTCAAAAGGTCAAAATTGTTGGTATCCAATGGAAGGTCTTGTCACAAGGAATACATATGTGAAGTTTGAAACCCCAAGCACCAACTGTTCAAAAGTTATGGTCAAGGTTAAAGTCTCATAAAATTTTGCAAAAGTGGGCCAAACTCCAAGGCCAAGGTCAAATATGATGGTACCCAAAGAAAGGCTTTGTCACAAGAAATACACATGTAAAATATGAAAGTCATAGCTCCAACCAATCAAAAGTTATGGGCAAGGTTAAAGTTTTTGCGGACAAACAGACAGACAGACGGGCGGACAGGGCAAAAACTATATACACCCGAATCTTCGATACGGGGGCATAAAAAAGCAATGACAAGCGAAAAAATAAATTTACAGACTGGCATCATTCCTTTGTAATTCTTATATTTAATAAAAGAAATTTAAATAAAGATTTTTAATAAAAAAAATTGATTCATGTTAAAATTGGCATTTTCCTTTGGACTGAGTCAGAAGAGGTATTAAAATAATTTTGATATCTGATTTTATGATGTGAAAATAACTGAAAATGTTTCCCCGAGTTCCTCAAAAGGAAAATGAAAAGCCAAAAAATACAAGAAACGCTGCTTTTGCAAGCCGGAGCATATGTGCCCTCGAACCCAGCGGTCTAATATTTTATTTACTCTCTTTAAAGTTTGCAAAATTTTAAATTCTTAGAAATAAAATGACCCATTTAATTTCATGGCAAGGGGTTTTGGATATTTAAACACCAGAAACTTGTAGAAACATTTACACATCAGAATTATTTTATAGTTTTAAAAATACAATTGGTGGAGAAAAAACCCCCTAAAACTCCATTTTATTTTTATGGATACAGTTAAAATTTTGTCCAACCGATTACATTGTACCAATTTTTTTCAGAAGCCACACAAATAATAAGACTTCAATGCTTCAAAAGGATTGGTTGGACAGTCACTGGGGAAAATGAGATTTACTTCGTATGTTTCAATGGAATGGTCGCCATTTTGAAGAAGGGACACTTGTAACAATGTGTCGCCCCTTCCCCCTCATACATAGTTGTAACCATGCTATTTTATTGGAGGAGAAAATAGGCTCTGAGGAAAATCGCACTCTATTACTACATGTATTACTCAAAGCCCCCCCCCCCCCCCCCGAAAAATTGAATCTGATGTGGGATTTCCGTATAGTAGGAGAAGGTAAAAAAAACTTCTCACATTAAAGATAGAAAGAAGATGGGCGAACAAGGCGAGCGAAATGCCTATAGTTCACCAAACATGAAGGTGAAAAATTAAGTCTCAATTATTACAAATTTTTCTTTGATATTTCAATTAACATTTAAGTATACCTTATGTAAAATCTCCACAATTTTCAAAAATCGCACAAAGATTGAAATAATTTGGCTTTGAAATAACATACATACACTAAAGAGGGCAAAAAGGATTTTCTTATACTATTACAAAAAATTTCGATATGAGTAGATTTTCGCTCCATTTTTTTGAAAGTTTATTCTCGAAGTTTGCGTAAAAGTATACATTCTTTGGTTTACAAAAACAAAGGAACCATTATACCTTAAAAATACACTTTTATGACAATATTCGCATCTTTCCGAGAAATACTAGTATTGGTCAAGCGTCATATCTCAAACACGAGATTTTTAAATGCCACTATTCATCAGGTGTTGTGTAGCGTAGTGGTTTAAATTATTGCAATTGTTCAATACAGAGAACTATGTAAGGATATGTGTAACCTCGGTTAATATGTATATAATAGCATGAGGCGAAGAGGTAGTCTTATAATCCAATAATTGTAATTAAGGTCTTTCGTTTCCAACGGAAGACCTTCTACTGATTCTGATGATTAAGATTATTTAAGGTCTTCCGTTTCCAACGGAAGACCTTCTACTGATTGTGATGATTAAGATTATTCTTATTATTAAGGTCTTCCGTTTCCAACGGAAGACCTTCTACTGATTCTGATGGTTAAGATTATTCTTATTAAGGTCTTCCGTTCCAACGGAAGACCTTCTACTGATTCTGATGGTTAAGATTATTATTCTTTTTTTTCTCTTCTTTTTCCTAGACGCCAACTTTGAAACCTCATATCTCGCTCATTTCTCAACGGATTTTGCTCAAATTTGCAGAGTTTATAGACGTTACAAAACTCTATCAGAATGTTGTCAAACAGTTCAAAAAGTCACTTCCGCTTTTGAGTTATTGCCCTTTAAATGAAAATTTATTAGGCTTCATTTCCAGACAAAGGCTCCGAGACTACAAAAGCTGGAGCAGAAATTCTACCGAATTTAGATAATAGAAGGATTGAAGTTGTGCACATTGGTTTTTGTTTTTCGATTTCTGTATTCAAAATGGCGCTAATTAGGGGTCAAAATTTAGAACGCCTAAAAGAGCGAAAATTTAGACATATTTTCCTTTGTATCTTTAAAACTAAAAATATTTTGATAAGACATGTAGAATAAAAGTTGTGCACAATTTCAAGGCCTTTCATTTGACACCACTAAAAAGGGGCTGGCCCCTCAAATTAGGGATCTGGAGCCCTTTAAAGTTTTTGCTTTATAACTCAAAAACGGTAAATATTTCGAAATAACTGTCGTTAAAAAAGTTGTTCTTTAACATCTTATTGATTTCATGAAAATGTTATATTGTTCGAGTCTTGTGTTTTAAATGCGCCAGAAGCTTGACCCATTTACAGGTAACTGTTTTCATTCAGCAAGTAAACGAGAGCTCTTCATGCGTGTAACTAAATTAAACTTACTATAAATAATAAATCTGGCTACATTAGATGCTAATATTCTTTAGAATAAGGTTCTTGAAGTGTTTTGTGCTTTATTTCCAAGTTATTTTTTTGACAACTTTTCGTTTTATTTCATTTTTTTCAAAGTCGAATAAACCAGCCTACTAAAAAAGGGGGGAAAAGATAACCTTTTCTTCTTATCATATAAAAACAAACAATATACTGAGAAAATAAAACATAACTTTGAAGCATAGACTATTTACAGCCATTAAGTGTGCGCCTTTTACATTCACTTGTGTGTTTACAATTATGTAATATCTCCCTCGATAGCGCGTGGCAAAGGAGGTCACCGGGGATCAATCGGCGTGTGTGACCAGCGACCTAGTCATACACAAAACAAATCAGAGAATGGCCATTCCAAATTCATTTTGTAAACTAAGTCATGAGTGGATAAATGTGT